TGTATAATCCTGTTAATAATTCAAATCAAAACATTGAAATTGGATTACATTATAAGATTTCGGCATTATTTTCGCATCGAACAAGACTCCACATGTTATCGCCAATATGTGAAATTAATTGCGGCTCATCTATAATCTTGATAGAGTGAGAGAAAATGATAATCAATGAACGTTTTCTGATGTAAAATAGCTTTTATCAAGAATATCTCAAAATCAAAGCTTCATCAAAACTTTGTCAAAACCAATACTGCCGATACCAAAACCAAAATCAAAACTATTAGCAGAACTATCAAAATCATCTCAAAACCAAATCTCGAAACTAAAACTACATCAAAACCAAAATTTCAAAACTAGTTTTGGTATTGATGCATGGCTACCCTTAATATAACAGTATAGAAACATTAAGTTATCCTTTTTTGAGAAAATAGAAATTGAGGACCTATTTTTGGTCTCCGAAAAAATCTAAGTTATAGTAATGGATGAAATTTTTAAAAGTGGTAGGGCGCTGCCCTATTACCAGAGTATTCCTGGTTAAGCTACTAGGCTCACTGGATATTAGTTTGTTATTCTAAGCAAAGTTTTACATGTTATCTTGATATTTATAGCGTGCGTGGCAAATCTCGCATCACTTTTTTGTTTTGAGTCGTGTATTAAAACTGCACAACGTTAATTTAATTCAATAATTGTATGTTTAGATAGAAGAGATCGAGTAGTAATTATATATATATATACCAGTTCAATGGGAAAAATATCTTGAATATGAAATACAATAAGTAAAACAAACTTCAGTACTAGGAGAAAAGTGACATAAAAAAACTACAAAATGATAACATAAATGTTTCGAAGACGTTTTGTTGTGCAATAGGCATTTATTCACATAACTTTTATAGAGCTCTCGACGGCACGTTTTTTGAAAAACAAGTCAAAATGCTATCATTTTCTTAAGCCGAGATACATGCAAAATATAAAAGTCCTTCGAACATTTTTATTGTGCTAAATACGGTGAAAAATAGCACTATCATGTATTCTCTTTTCAGTTTGAGCATGAAGGAAACCATCAAAAGAAGTCAATAAAATTTTTTTCTTACAATTTTTGTCTGTGAAGATATATTCGCAAAACAAACTATGTTGCAAACATTTGGGAACACCCGATATTTCACAATATTTTATATTTTGACCAGGGTTGCCAACTGTACCCCATTTGGACTTTTCCCTGTACACTATATATATCAATCATCTTTCGATATAAATCAATGACATTTTTGACTTTAACTAGCGTTTTCCTTGTGGAGATAAAAGTGTTAATCATATTAGCCGGCTGCCCAAAGAGACAAGAATTTCGAAAAAGAACACGCTTAAACGCTCAAAATGGAACCATGGTTGTGAGCCATTAGCGCTCATTAAAAAAACGCAAGAAGCACATTTTATGTTCAAAATTTGTACTTTCAGAGTGTAAAAAAGACAGGAAAATTCAGTTTTTAACGTTAAAGCGCACTTTTATTCGATAATGTAAAAACAATGCGTTTTAGCACTTAAAAACTGACGTTTTCCGTCGGCTTTACGCTCTAAAAATGAACGTCTTGAATGCATAATGCCTTTCTTGCGGGTTTTTAATGAGAGCTAATGGGTCACAATGGCCGTCCCATTTTGAACATTTAAACGTGCTTTTCCAAATTTTTGTCTGCTTCGGTGGTGATTCAGTCATATGAAACACGCATGGACACCAAGGCGAAACTCGATGTCAACTGAGACAATTGCGGTTGAATGAAAGGTTAGGTTGAAGTTGAATACTAAGCTGAAATGTGAAGATTATTATTTATTTGTACAGTCGCAACTAGAAATGGTCAAATTTGCCAAAAGCAAATAGCCATACCGTCATAAAAAAAAAAGATGTGCGCCAGTTAGTGTGAATACAGAGCGTTTTTTCTAATTAAACATTTTTGTTTTATCTTTTGAACNTAATAAAAATTGAAAAATCGAAAAACAACAAAATTTTTTTTTTGTAAAACTCTATTAACTCCGTTGACGGTGGTGATCTCGGGAATCCGTTGTGTGGTAAAGGAAGTTGATAGCGTCTAGTGTAAATCGGCTTAGCTTACGATAGTTTTGCAAAATCCTGTCAGAAATCACAGGACGAAATCCAAGATGGTCACTTGAATGACCGTTGGGGGTAAGGAACACAAAACTAATTTTTTTATAGGATATTATTTTTAGTTCAAGTAATCTTCTGGAAACTTTATTTTTATGAAAGTATGATGTTTCTGTTTCTTTTTCATTTTTTCTTGCTTATATGCTCATATATGGAATGAAGGTTCTTTGTATATCGATTGAATGTATGGCAGTCATGTGACACAATTCTTTTTCTCTATCGTATTTTATTTTAATCACACAGTAAACAATGCGTCTTAGTGAGATAAATGTGTTATAACATTTTCGATAGCTACATAACACGTATTCAAATTCAATAGCGTGAACGCATTCAACTTTTTATCTCTTTACAAATGAATTCTAATTCAACTATTGAACTAAACAGATGTTTTTTTTTGTACTAGTGTTTAAAAGTGAATATTAGTATCATCGAAGTGTTTTTTTTCATATATTAAATTGTTGTGTTGCAGATCAGTCTCGTCTATCAGTATGAATTTCAGTGTACAAAAAGATCTTTTCCTTGTCCTTCTCCCCGATTGGTCATTTCAGCGACCAAGATGGGTAGCTCAATGGGCGACATCTATTGACTAACGGGGCATACTATTAACATGCTGATGTCACTAGTATACTATATCAATAGTGAGTGTGTCTGTATCTCATCTGAAACCTGAATGAGGGGTAAAGGGTTAAGAAGTGAAATCACCTGGTACTTTTTCACTAGCATTCAATGTAGTTTTGTTCGAAAAAGGGACATTGAATTAAAACTAATATCATATTCTGAATCAGTACTAACAACGATGGTAATTTATGAGTATTTTGAACCTTCTTTTTTAGACACTTTTAGGTTTATCGAAACGATTTCCCCTACTTGGAGTGTGGGTGCGGCTGCTTCTTTCACTGAAATGAAGAACTCGCGCATGCCCACACTCACATTCATACCCATGCCATCAAGTTTGGAAATTAATGTACCTTTCCAGATTTGTGAACTAAAATAATCAAGGGCAAGCGTTGATTATTCAGTGCTTTTTTTACAGAGATATCTTGATCTCCTAGCACTTGTTAGCTGGGAAAATATTATCTTATATTCGGCAAACAACGGCGACACTATGATAGATGATTAAAAGTTTTGCTAATTATGCAATAAAACTACGCTCTATTCTCTCTTTTTTTTCTTGTTAATTTATACTTCAATACCCTACGTGGTTAGTGTTAATGTAATAAACCGAACTCACAAAGAAAAAATTAATAAAAAACTCAGAACATATATCATTGCTATTAGTCTCGATTTTGAAAATTCGGCATCAGTTTTATAGCGAACAATAAGTATGATAATTTTTATCTTTTATGAGCATAACTTGATTTGGTTGTGTTTCTTTAGTTTTATATAGGAGAAGTTTTTGTAACTGGCGTTATCTTGTTCGATTGAAAATATGACAGTTGAGAAAGCTTATACGCAACCTTTGAAATATAGCAATGTGGATAGACCGGGAAGAAACGAAAATTATCTTCAATAGTTTTCAATGGACCATTCATTGATGAAAACGTTTGTATTATTGATAAGAATCCAAACGAGAGTAAAGCTATTAACAAATATGTTTCATAATAAATGTCAAATATACGAAGATATGTATCGTACAGAACCCAAAAGCCACGCCAAATAAATAGACACGAAGCAAAAGCTAACGCATGAATTATGTTTCGATGAAATTGGGGAAAATTCTCTGAAAAAACTGTCCAAAGTTCATATTTCAAATTGAATTTCTCGAAGTAATATTGACAATACATCAGTGGAAAATAAAGAGGGTAACCAATCAATAAACAGATCCAAGCCGACATTGTTCTATCATCAGGATACAAATATTGATCAAGAATAACATAAAAACCATGCCATCCAATGATTGTTATATTGGAAATAATCAATTCGTACAAGATAAAATTCATCAGATTTATTTTCCATCGATCCATCTTTGAATAAAATCATCTATTAAAATATCTTTCGTTTTTGATAAGAAGAGACCTACTTGTGCTGTCACGAGAGGGCACTCAAATTGAATACAATAATCAATGGAATCATAGCTAACAACAAATGGCGAACATACCATATCTGATAAAGTTCCAGTAAGAACAATTAATGTAAACAATGATGCTAACGATAGGACCATAAGAAATGTCCAATCTGTAGGACTATATTGATCCAAAATAGTCCAGATCATTTCCCATTGAACAATGTAAAATGATGCCAAAAGTAGGGCATGAATTTTTAAAAGCATCATTCCGACAACAGTATGCTGTCGTTTAAGAAAATCATATAATATATCTTGACAAAGATAAAGAATGAGTAGTAAAATTTCAACGATCACATATGAAACGATCAAGGACTGAGGTGAATAATCACCGTAATCTTCATTGGTATAATTTTCCCCGTTGAGATTGTATGCCAATGGATAGTTATTCAATGAGTTGATCATAGTAACAGTAAGATTCCAACCACAATCCCAAAAGAGAACGAGTATTGGAAAGAGAAAGCAACCAGTTAGAATTGGTTCGATAATGAATAATAACAGATAGCGACCTTTAGGCTTGACATCATTTTCTTCACTGTTCTCAACTATAGAAATAATTTGTGTTAGGCGACGGCGACTAGTGCTACCATCAGCATTAGGAAGTGGTTGTGACAATTCTGAATCGATTACTTGAATTTGCTGTTGATTATGATATTCATTATCGAAGTTCTTCGAAACTATTGAAAATCGACGTTGATTATTGTTGGATATATTCAGATGAGGATTTTCGCCTTTGGTTAAAAACACAGGTAACATGCTCAATTGATTTTTTAAAGTTGGCTTGCTTCTATTGTCAATTATATCATGGTAGTTCCATGTCTAGAATATCATAAATAACGAAAAATATGGAATAATGTAGTGAAGTATGGAGAGATAGATATATATTAAAATGACTTCTGAATTACGTGGACATATGCTCAGAGTTTCTTATGACCTGTACCTTTATAAACCATTCATGATGGTTCCTGAAGTCTCTAAATGATGTCTAGCAGTATTTTAAAAAATGATAAAAATATTGTATTGAAGAGTGTATGATAACTATTAATACAACCTAGAATTCATGGACACTTGCATGACATGGTTTTCATCAGTCGTAAAACAACTCTACCATGCTATATAAGAAGGTATCTAATAGTTTCTCAAAGTAATAAAATAGCTCACAATCTGATTGTACTTATCAATTACTCAAGCACAGAGATACAAAAGATCAACAGAAGAAGCACTAAGTTGAGTCATTGCATTCTAATCGCTCTATTCAATATTATTGAAATATCAAAGCAACTAAATAATGAAGGAAAAAATTAAAATTAAACAAACCTTTTCAGTGTTTTCCATGAAATAATGAACAATTTTCAGAATGATTAAATGAAGAAAAGCAAAGAAAGTTGGCCTTCTGATTCTATTTCCCTTATAAAATAAGAAAAGCCTTTCGAGATAAGTAAATAGAGAAAAAGAAAGGTAAACATAGTTAACCGTCTGTATATCTCAAATATGATGTGGAAAACTATTGAAATAATCGATTGAGGAAAGCAAAATTAAAGGGACATATTCACTTTGTTTCTGGACACAATCAGCAACTATCAAGATAAGCAAGCGAAGAGCAATAAAAGGAAACACAGTTAAATTTTTGTATTTTAAAATTTTAAGATACAATGTTGGAAACTGTCGGCATAGTCAATCGCAGAAAACAAAACTAAACGGGCAAGCCAATGAACCACTATTTATTATCCATGAAGTACTGAATCTGAACTTTGATCCGTATAAAATCAATCATTAGGCTATTTAGAATAATCATAAATACATTTCTGTCGTTCAAGGTTTGAAGAATTTTTTCTATATATTGTTACTTTTTCTAGAACAACATAATATTTGTTGTTAATGATACTGAATTCCTTTTCCCATTGGACAGGACCTATAGAGAAGTTGTTTAATATTGCTCTGCTTTGTGATTGAAGTCTCTTGTATGGAAGGGGAGGAGGCAAAATATCCTGGCTCACGTTTTTTTCAGCTACTATTATGAGGTACTGTAAAAACGTAGCGACAACGAAATAAAGAAAAAAAGCCTGAGGATTTGTCAAATATTGCACTCTTTCGATTGTGGAAAACTATCAGATTGTGCATATCGTAAAAGATTATTTAAAAAAGATCCTGTTAATACTCACGTTTGACCTGTCCTTATCTGTATTTCGAGAGAAGAAAAATACATTTCTATTAGTGAATTCTCAGAAGCAGCTAAAATATAATCATCATCAGTTCGTAGTTATGAATATGAATATTGAAAGTATTCTTTTTACCACATTTCAAAACAAGTTTTAGTAGACAGCCGGAAAGAATTTTCATTGAATTTAGTATCATCAATACTTGTATTCAGTCAAGATTTAATGAGCCATATGTTGGAAAGCTTTTCTGGAGATAGAAATAAGCATCATCATCAGATATGTATTTCTCTGAGAATTTCTTGTGATTAACATGGTAATAAAATGATATAGTTAAATGTACGCACTAGAATTATCCCATGTCAAAGGTTTGTCAAAATCGTGAGACAATATATTTTATTATCCCGTAGTCGAGATTAGTTAAGGTAGATATCAATGTAAAAACAGCCTCGCTACTGTTCAAAAAAGAGCTCGAGATAAATACCAAAAAAAGAAACATAAGTTAATTTGAATTTTCATACTAAAACCGGAGGTTTCAATCAAAAATACAAAGGAGGAAGTTTTCTTTGTCAATCTTTGCTATTGTTGCTGATCGGATTTATCGGTGAAAAAACCATTTTAATGGAGAGATAAACACATTAATAGCGAAGAAAAATCCATTGATTAACTTACTGATCTAAGCTTGTTCCATATGAAGACGATGAATTTCACCAATTTTATAGCCAAAAAATGCCAGCATCCTTCATTTTCTAAATCCCTTATAAACTGTCAATGTTATTGCGCGACCAACAGAACGAATCAAATCAATAATATTGAGAAAAAGCTGATGATTTCAGACTTCACTTGAGTTTGATCCATATTGACGTTCGTGCTATTAGAAAAACTTGTACATCTTCTTTTGAATAAGAATTATTAAAAAGGAAGCTTTGCATTTTCATCGTTCGGGTTCTCATATGATGTTGATCGTCGATAGCAAAGAAATCCAAGAGAATTTGTCATTTTTTAACTCTATCGTGTTGATGTAAAACGAAAACCTATACCCATATTTCATTGATGATCATTACAATTCGATCAATTGCAAAAGAAGAGAGAATTTCGTTTTATTTTTTGTGTTAAAGAAAAGGAAACGAGACGTTTGCTTGGTTATTAAAAAATACTGTTTTCTAGCCACTGGTTCGAATGGCAGAGCGAATGGATGAAGAAGAATCAAATAGCACCCGTAATAGCATTCTGAGTGTAGTAGGATATGCGAAAGACAAAATAAGAGTAGATGTAACGACAACAACTACCACTTTTACTTATATCCACGAATATAATTCGAATATTTTTTTTCCATCGGTATCGATGAAGACCGAAGTGAATAAAACGATGATCTCAATCATGTTTAGCTACACCTGAATCCCTAAAGAAATTACGTGAGACTACTGTTTCATGATTATCATTGCATGCTTAAGGCAAGGCTGCCAGATCTGGAGGGTGATTTCATTGCGAGACTTCTAGTGTTTTTTGTTGTTTTCATTTTCTAAAACAGTTTTGGATACAGGATCTAATTTGAAGATTTTCCATTTTGTGATATATGGATCAGCCTATTTGAAATTTTCGCTCATAAATCTTAACTAACAAGTGAACTTTGAGAAATATGTGTAATAGAAATCAACAGAAGGGACTGCTTGAAAAATTTATCAAAATCCTTTACTGTACGAAGACAAGCTTAGTAACCTTTTATATTCGTCATAAACAAATTTTGCACTGTGACCAAAGCAACTTTCTAACCTACCTTTTCTCTAAAAAATAATTCAAAATAGACAGGTGCTTGATTATACCCATCTACCATAGTAACTAAGCGCTATTTATCAAAGTTTAGGACGGCAAATTTATTTCTAGTTAAACGCTATTTTATAATTTAGTTGTTTGTTTCATGAATTACTGCAACATTACTAGTAGTACACATAACAGATGTGGCTGTCTTTGTGATTTCTCACATACTATGTAGAAAAAAGTTCCACTGCATTAGCGTGGCAGGAAAAATATCAATCATTTAAATGAACTGAATTATCAGTTTTCTTGGAAACAATTAAGCAAAATATATTCTTGACTCGCGTCAAAATCGCCTGGTTTTCATTCTGATTTTTTTAATGAAAATCTTCGAGTTAACACTTATTTTCTATCATAGGAACTCCTCGCTCTAAAATTCGAATTTTGCAGTCTTAGTCCTAGTTGAAATATGTGGTAAGAAAATTTAACAAATGCCAATTTGCTTACTCAAAAGACAGTCGTAAAAATACAGGTGTTCCTCTTCATACTACTCAGAAACCGTAACCAAGATTTATATTTAACTGTAGTTGATTAGTAAATTTTTTGATCGTCAGTTTTGGTCTGGTCATTATATATTGTGTAGAAGATCGGACTCGAGAACAAACATGCAAACACTCTATACTTCACCATACTTCTAGAACATTTTCAAATCTGTCTTTCCAGAATACCTCATCCATGTTGCTGGTAGTATTATTGTATGATGTGTTAAATATAAAATTTTTCCCCTTAAGATTGAATTCAAGAACAGGGCGAAAGTGAATTTCGATTGAATTGAGTCAAGTTTTCATGAAATTTTAAAGGCTGAAATCATAGTTTAATTATATACTGGATGATTGATTTGCGTTGACTGACTAGATTGTGCATGTGATGCTACATACAATCCAAGGATTAAGCAATTTCCAGGATGCAGTAATAACTTAGATGGATATAGTAATGCCATAAAAGAAGCAATACAAGAGTGACACTGCACAAATGGAATTAGATTTTTCACCTTGAAATTCTGTAAATTCATGTCCTATAATATTGCATAGTCAGATGGATTAACCCAGAGTTTCTTGAAGAATTCATTTTGAGTAACCGCTAATTATTTTCCTTGTGTTGAATAGTTAGTCGTCGAAATTCATACGTAATTATCCTTTCAATCTACTTTAGTTTCGCTCCTTTCTCTATTAGTGAATATTCGACTCTAAAAGATGATCGTGCGCGTCCCACTATATATAAAGTTCCAAACATATATCTAATCAGGGTGCGCGTGTCAATTACGATAAGAGTTACGTCTACGCCCACACCCAACGAGTAGCAAGAAAAAATAGAAACGTCATAGATAAAATGAGTATACAATAACTAAAATTGATTTATTTTTGGAAAAGATTAACCACTATTAATCATACATTAACTAGAACTATGATATGTCGTTGAAAAAACAATAGGAAATTTTGAAACATTGTTTAGAGCGTTTTAAGCTATGTGTAGATTTCTTTGCTTTTAATCTTGTTTATTCAAGAACAGCGCACAGTAGATCATTCCGAGCATTGAAAAATCGAGGAGACTATGTTGTAGTTGTGAAATGCTGACCATCGTTAGATACGTTCTTTCACTATCATCAGGTACTCCGAATGTTTTGTTTTTGATTTCGTTCTTGAGAATATTTTCATATTCGTCTTTCGTAAGTTCAATACTATAGAGCTGTGCCCGATGTGAAGATAATGTAGCGGCAACTTGTCGTTGTTCAATAAACTTGAAACGGGACATATCCATAATCGTCAAACCACATTCTTCTTCTAGTTCGTGTTTAGCAGTAAACTGTGGATCCATGCTTGGGCTAGACGAGCTGCCACTGGGTAATTCGTAAACAAAACCATCGGCATTATTGACAGAACTACGAAACTCTTTGACTATAACAATCTTAATGTCCTCGTCGCTATCTCTATAATAAGCTAAAACTGCACTTATATCCTTGCGAGCGAAGACAAACTCATTTTCTTTGTAACGGTTTTCTGCTTCAATCCATACTTTAACCCACAGTAGATAAGAGAATACGTGTTTAGGGTTTCTAGACTCAACATGATGTAGTAGCTTTGCTTTCTCCAAACGATTTCCTGCTGTTTTGAGATTGAAATACCATGACTGAAATTGCTCTGTTTTCCAGATAAAAAGTGGGATGTAAACTTCACCACTTGTTCTAAAAGCACCCGTGCCAAGTAAAGACACAGCATGATGAAGTGTGTCTTCTAACGAAATAAACACGGGTAATTTCAAATCTTTCATACGTTTATCTAAATAAAGACATTTTTCAGCATCTTCAGGACGTCCATATACAATTTTGCCACAATGTAGATCTTCGCCGAATTCCACATTCGTAGTAAATCCTGGCATTCGTCCATTGACGTGACGTGGAACCCAAAATACAATGAGATCGGCTACGTGACGACACTCGCATTCCCATGAAATTTGGTTGTCATAAGTCCATGCAGAAGGATCGTAATCTGTACCGTAGAAACGCTGTTCAGGAACTGGAATGAAAACAGTTCCATCGTAATCAATAGACGATGAGCAAAGGCACGAAATAGCTTCATGACGCCAATCAATGGCATTTGCTTCTCGAGGAGATGGGCCAGCTAAGAAAATTGATTTGGTAACAACGGATGGAACCGGATGATCGGCGAAGACAAGCTGCATTATTTATTCTCTATATGATTAATCTTTCAGTGATCTAGAATTCAAGATAAATTATAAAATTTCATAATTTCACTAACATCGCTCTGCGTCTAAAATAGCAGTAAACACAACGGAGCATGTGCTGGTGATGTACGCAGCCGAATAAAAACTAAAATTCCTGGTGAAAGTTTATTTTCTTTGGCACTTTAACATACGACTCTTCCAATAGATCATTTAGTCGTCATCATTTACTGTCACTAGTTTGATGAATTTATTACGTATACATGATGTGTAGCCTTACGTTGTCATTTCTTCTTAACAAATGTGCCGTTTCTTTCCTTATCGTTTATTTTCATGACACACCTTGTGCTCCCATCTGTCATAAGCATTTTACATCGAATTACCTGTTTCCTTGACTTCACCTCAGTTCTTCTCTTGGTTTCTATTTTCTCACTTCAGTCTCCTAGTTGTGTATTTACACGTGCTTCATATAAAAACACTGTTTATATGCTTTTTTTTGTACAGTATAGAGCATACATTCATTCTATCGAAAATTATTACATAACAGCTCACTGGTTGGCATATACCACTGAGGCTGGGGTTAACGACAGATTACTAAAGTGGCTTTAATAATAGAATCGGTATAGAAAATTCTAAAAACCAGGATGATCAGCTATAAAAATTACTTTTGAATACAAATAATTAACAAAAAGATTACAAGCATAAAAGAAATTCTTAGTAATAACTTATAATGAGTGCTTACGCAATGATACTAGAGACGAAAATGTTGAAGTCATTTCAAAGGCTACATATCAACATGAATATATTTTACACAATAATGAAACAAACATCGAAAGGGAATATGAAAAACTGACAAAATCATTGATAAAAAGGAGACGTGTGGGCATAGGTGTGGGTGTGACAATGAGTCGATAAAAGATATCTTGGTTATAATTAGTTTCTATATATCGCATAGGTCCTGAGCTGACACATTTTTTAGTTTGTGCAGATACTTCTATAAGACATCCTATGGTTCAAACTTGAAACTAAGACTCAGTTGAATTCCAGTTTCAAGTTTGACAGTACTGAATTTTTACAACTTATGTTAACAAAAATACTACCGAAACATAATTCTTTCAATCAAGATCGATGCTACTAGTAATGCTAGCTTAATTTTCACCAATTCAAACTTTTTTTAATTTTCATTATGAAGCTTAGATCAATTCAAATAACTTGCATGTTCAACACATAATTGCATTACCCAATTAGATACGACAAATACCGGGAACGAGAGAAAACAATAGAATTCAAAAAAAAATTTCTCTTTCAGTGTTGATCAAGTTGCTATCGGACGATAGTTATTGTTGTTCTCTTCCGTACAAATGACTTACTAATGATACGAGAGAAATAGAGAGGAAACCGTTCTCTTTGTAAATTAGGTACAATAGAAAATAAAAAAAACAATTACATCTTAGCCTTCGGGTAATAGAAATTAAACAGATTTTTGAATTCTTGGTAAGTATACCTTGTAAATACAGAATGATTAACAGGGTATAAAATCTACTTCCAGAAAGAATCTGGATCTCTTTTTGCGAACTATTCACTTCGATCCTATTTAGCTATTCTAGCAAGCTAGCAGACTGATTCGTATGAATCGAAAGTAAAATTTATTATAATTTCGATATTTTTAGCCAACACTATAGCATTTATTTTTGATAGCAGTTTTCACAATTGTCAGAGGGAACCAATTCCAATAGAATAAATAGTTTACAAAAACATTTCTCCACAGATCTGAGGTATCTTCGGCAGAAAAATGACGAATTATTTTCAATTACACATGTGTATATACATATGCTTTTCAGTAACGTAGCACACTGTCTTGTTTTAGTTATCAAATGGCTTGGGATTTAGAATTGAATCCAATACTTTTGGAAGAACTATACGTTTGGATTGATAGTATTCCACTGTCAAAAACAAAGACAAAAATCGAGCGAGATTTTTCTGATGGTAATTTAAAACTCCGCCTCATTTAATTATTGAAGCTTTCGATTATAGGTATCTTAGTAGCTGAAATTATTCGACATTATTTACCCGATATGGTCGATATGCACAATTACACTGTAGCAAATTCATTTAATCCGAAAAAGATCAATTGGGGACAATTAAATAAGAGAATCTTATGTCCATTAACGCTGGACTTACCCGATAAAATCATTATTGATTTATGCAATGGAAAGCCAGGAGTTGTTGAAATATTTTTATTCAAGCTAAGACAAAAAATAGATGAAGAACTTGAATTGCGACAAAAACTAGAATCTCAACGTTTGCCTTCGCCAAATCAATCACTGCTAGCATTGAACATCATCGACTCAAAAAAAGAAAGCACAAATATTGTTTCCAGCCGGTCAAGTCGCATTAGTAAATCGATTGGTAGTTTTACTAGCCGTTGGGTTTCGCGTCTATTTTACGAAGAATTAAAACAACAAAGCCTGGAACAAGATGAAGAAATTCAAATACTTCGGGCAAAACTGAGACGATTAGAACATATTCTTCAGTTGAAAGACATTCGTATTAGTGAACTTATTGAAGAAACTCAACGTAAACAACTGACTATCTTAGGGACTGGCAAGAATAAAAACAAATACACAGCTACTGTCTCTCACAACTGAAACTCTCTATTATATATAGATAAGCATTGTTATTCTTAGGAGAAAATAAATAAAAAAAATCTCTGAAAATCTCTTATTAATTCATTTAATATGCACATGATATGAATTATCCTGAAATTTAAGACTACTTTGATCAAGATAATAATAAATTTACGAAGAATTGCTGTTCGATTACCGTTATTAACTAAGATAATAATAAAATATGAACTATGAGCCTGATAGTTATTAGAGCAATATTGAGCTATTGCTCCTATTTGCTACGTCAATTGCTCTATCAGGTATAAAAATTTTGAGCTTAAGATCGATGTTTTTAACTTGTTGTGCTGCAATCATTTGGTATATCCTGGAAGGTAAAAATTGATTTCGTCTGTTCGTCTTCAGGAAAAAAACAGAAAGTGTCCTCTCGTTGATATCTTGCACTATACAGATATTTCTACACAACCTACGATATTAAGCTTTATATTGCATTGAACCCACCTACATAGAGTGTTGTTGCTGCGCTATTCTTCTATATTTGAAATCTAACACAAAAATACAAAATTGAAGCAAGAAAAAGAAGCCATAAATTTACTCTTTCATATACTGTTCAAAATCATCAACAGTCTCTTCTCGCCATCGTGAAAGAGCCGAACGACCATCAGTAATATCATGCAGATTCCAAGTCATACGTTTATAGTCCGTATGATTGGTCACAGCATTATCTGGACAAAGAATGTAAAACTGCTTCTGTTCGATTTTTTCAAACATATACGAGGCGACCTGATCTGCTGTCCATGCAGAATTCGGCTTGTTTGTTGAAGTTCCTCGAGTCATGTTAGTCTAAGTATTAGCCATATTCATAAATAATGCAAGGTAAAATTATGTTGTGAACCTCTAGTTGATATCAAGTCAACGTTCAGTATTGAATAAGATCTATCCTGGAATGAGAAGATGCACGCTAACGTTCGTTTTACGAAGATCGTAAGAAAGACTTTCCGCCAGTGACTTGACGGTGGCCTTGGAAGCATTGTACGCAGGATTTCCGGGTGGATTCGTAATTCCTTGCTTAGAACCGGTGATGACAATAGTTGCTTTATTATTTTCAATCAACGGCAAAAGAGTTGTGATCCCATTTATTATGCCAAACAAATTAGTGTTCATCATCTCACGCCAGTCATTTGGATCGGTCCATGAAGTCTTGAATCCGACGCCCGCATTAAGCATCAGAAAATCAATAGGTCGGCCATTGATAGCGTCGGTCAGTTTTTGCCATTCGACTGCTTCGCCGACGTCAAATTGGAGCGTCTCTGCTTGAATATGATCGCCAAATTCTCCTCGGTCAATCAATAGAAGTGAATGTGTTTTTTCCAAATACTGAGCCACGGCATAGCCTATACCGGAAGCAGTCACTGTAATAATGGCTAGTGGCCTAGTCGTCATCTTGCTGAAAATGTCAGAAAATTTGTTACGTAGAATTCTGAAGATATTTTCGCTTTCTACAAGTGAATAGACAAAAACATCCAAAAAACATCTGAAGCGCGTGAATACAGTAAGAGGACGAGATAAGCATGTAAAGCACCATTAATAAGGACGACGAGATAGAGAAAAAAAGAGAACAAATATAGGAAAAAGTAACTGAAGGACTTTTTGTTTTCACAGTATGAAGTAAACTCGTGTCATATTTATATGGTAATTAGTAAATGTTTTTAAATAATGTAGTTTTTCTAAAGATTTTATGAAGTTGTTAAAAAAAGATTACTACATTGATGATTTTTTCTTTACTATTAAGCGAAAGGATTCATTAACATGAACGAGTGGATAAGTAATGAATTGTGCGTTAATGTTTTTGCGGTATTTTCATTGTTTTTCGTATTAATCAAGATGTGTTACAATAATAAGAAGTGTTAGAAGGTGTTAATTAGAGAGAAGAAGAAAAGTATCTGTCTGAAAACAATATCACATATAGTCAAAATAGAACATTCGTAGACTATTGAATTAAAATGAAAGGTAAAACATGCATAGAGACAACAAAGAACTGAAAAGATTTTACATGACCTGTCATATGTAGTAAGATATATGTAATAGTTGAATTTTGACGACGCAAATCTGAGGAGGTTCAAGATATTCATATTTTCTCTTAAAGAAATACAGCATGCTTCATCTATTTTTGTTCATTTTATTTGCATTATTATAGAAGAAGGAGAAAAGCTATAATTTCAAGCGATGTTCTATATGAAAGCCACGAGCTTTAATTATAAGAAATATTCATTTTGGCCAGTAAGCTAAAACTTTATCAATATAAGTTTGATCCATCCTTTTCCACCGGTACAAAAGGTTTTTTTACTTCACCTAAACTTTCAATTTTCTGTTTGTTCAGCCGTTGTTTCAAATACCCCTGTATTGAATAGTTCATGGGAGCTACATCTGGTGACTTGGGCATCCATTCTGTGGGTTTAATATAATTAATATTTGAGACATTGAAAAAGCGGCTGTTTCCTTCGAAGCATGACTGGGAGCATTGTTCAGATGAAAAATCATTTTCGTTTTTTTATTGTTTGGAAATAAATGAGGAACATCATGTGATAAAAATGATCTCAAAATGTTGTTGATGTAATAATCTGAATTGATTTTAGCCCCATGTTTAACAAAACGAAGAGATACCTTGCCATGAGATGAAAGACCAGTCCATACCATGAATCGTTTTGGACGAGATGAATCTTTGTTGAATTATCATTCTTTCATAATTCGGATGGTTTTTTTTTTATGTAGCAAACTTTCCTTTTTCCGTCAGTACCATCGACATAGAACCAAGATTCATCGGTTGTTATGAATTTTTTGTAGCGACTATTGACTAATTGTGGATAAAGTCGTTGTGCACGTTGACGACGTTTTTCGACGTTCGATGGTGTTAATTTATGGACTTTTATTTTTTTCCGAAGAGTAAAGTTGCTCAATTTTATAATTCTTGAGACGTTGATTGACGCATATGATAATATTTGACAATAGAACGTTGAGTAGGAGGATCATTGACGTCAATTGTTTGAATTACGTTTGATATAGTTGATGGTGTAGATACTGATCGTTTTCGAGAAAATCTAATTTTTTCAAGAGAATTACGTTGACGGCCAAACTATTGTTTAACATTAGATACAGTTCTTTGAAATTCCCCGATTCCATCTTTTTTCAAAATTTTAACTATTTGTCTCTGGGAGTATTTCAGCTGGAAAAGATCCAAAATACGCCCCTCAAGGATATCATGAATTGTTTTTTAAGGCATTATTTTAAACAGAGATTGGACGTATAAAGAGATAGAGAACGATCATCCCTATCACATGATATAGTGACACGCTTTTGCTTTCTTTTCTGTGAAGCACGAATGGCATTTTAAAATGAGCAAAAATAGATGAATCATGCTGTATTTCATCTGAGAGTTTAATTGACTTGTTTCTTACTTCAGAAAAACTTGATATACCAATAGAGTTAAGAAAATGGATTTTTAATTGGCTACAGAATAGATGGATGAGAGTTTCTCATGGTGAGTCAGAATCAAGACTATTTCCTATTTTAATAGGCGCGCCACAAGGAAGTGTACTTGCTGCTCTGTTATTTAGATTACACGTGCATTTCCTTCCTCTCCATTTTCCTCGGACAGTAAACCATCTTTTTGCAGATGATCTCACAATTGTCGTGAAAGGAGCCTTAAAAGAACGTCTATCAGACAATATAAAATATGTACAAAATCGAGCTAAAGTAGCCTTGCAAGCTCTGGAAAATTTTTCGGATAATTATCTTCTTCCTGTTAACGTAACAAAAACAAAAGCTATGCTGGTTCATAACGTTGTACATGCTACAAAACCTGAGCTCGAAGATAAAAAAAGTGGCTATTGAATATGCAACTAATTTTCAATGTCTAGGAGTTCATATATCGGTACAAAATTGGGTTGGGGAAAATTTATAGACGATAGATTGAAAAAAGTGAGACAGTCTTACTGTGGTCTAAGAAAATATTTAATACAATACCTCGAAATGAAATTAAATTAAGAAAAAAATTATTCCTAACCTTTTCTCTTCCTCAATTCATTTGGCTTTTTTTTGTTTTTTTCTACTTTTTACCGAACAGCAAAGAGAAAAGGTCGAACATTTCTTTGGAACAGGTTTAAGGTTAGTATATTCTCTCTGGGGATATGACGATCTAATAACACTTGTATTAAGTCGAGAGTTTTCCTTGTGCGACTATCTTTATAAATATTGGATTAGGTTTCAAAAACATTTAGGCCGAGAACCTGAAGCGGATATCTACCGACAAACATTAACAGCTTACTTTATTGTAAAGTCTCCTTTTAAAACATATTGTAAAAGTATGAGTTTGAGAAAAAATAACTATTTTCTTAACAGATTTACAGAACGTGCAAAACACTCATATCTTGACGTTATCTCTTTATTTGATATACACGAAAAACAGTATGGATACTTCAAGAAATCAAGCTCAATTCTAGAATTTTTTGTTATGAAATTTTATTCAAAAAAAGAAAAAACATCTATTGCTTTGGGAGCATAAAAAGTTAAATGAGGAAAGTAGAAAGTCTCTGAATTTGATTTTATTGGGTGTTATTAGTGAAAAACTCGATAAAAGAAAAACATAAAAGTGTATGATGCGGTACAAAGTAATATACAATTTACTCGACCCTAACTTAATGTGATGTGGTTTTTCTCCTTGTTTCTTTTCTTTTGTTCTCTTTTTTTCCTTTTCCCCCTATACAACACTATGTACTTGTGTATCACAAGATGTTCATGTAAACTGTTAACTTTTATGGAACAATAAACTGAATGTTAAAAAAGAGAGCTTAATTGACTGGTCTGATTCATGGATTTTAGAGAATGTTTCTAATCCAAATGAGTTAATATCATTCATATGGATGATAACGATGCATTGTTCGAATTAAAAAAATGAAATTAATCAGTCTCTTTTTCGGCTGTAGTTGTGAAAACACAAGCCAAATATGCAACCCACTGCTATCTATTATCTAGGGGTGACACAATAGGAAATGACGACGTGTTATGTCTTACATATTATGCATATACTTTTAACAATGAACATCTCTAAAGTAGCAAGATAAAGTTTACTTTCATCAAATGTTATCAGTCGAGTTGGCACTGCTTTAATGCACACATTACCTTGTATTTCTTTAAATATTCAACGCCCATCTTATTCTCTCTACTTAGTGTATCCTAGTAATTTTATACATCTACTGCTGGGTGGTGCACCTGAAAACAAATTTCCAAAATTATACCGACAATTTCAATATTTCAACAATGCTTCAAGAGCATGAACATTTATTTTGAACAAAATAATAAATTTTACACCGAAAATAATTCGGACATTGTTGACTTGGTTGATACGTGCGTTTATTGAAATGAATTTAAAATACGGTGGAATCTTCTTTATTTGGCTTTATTGTCTTATCTTTTATGTCTATAGTGCTTGAGAATTCTTCCAATTGTTGTAGAAAAGATGCATTGGGTCTAATTACACTGCGTTTCAATTTAAGATAATTAAAAGCTGCTTCCACTGTACATAAGTTAGTATTAGAATGTAATAAATATGCTATCACTACACTGGCTGATCGACTTACACCTTGATCACAATGAACTAACACAGTACCATTTTCATCATTGATGGCCTTCGATATCCATGCTATAGCAGAAGGAAACACGGACAATAAATTTGTGGATCGACTATCAGACAGTTGCCAATGTAAAGTTGTAATGTTTGTTGATTTTATTTCGTTTTCATTGTACTCACTGAAACTCATAATATGAGTAATGTTTAGCATGGCTATTACTGTTTCATTTCGACACATTGCAGAACCAAGATATAAATTTGGTCTTACATAAGATGGCCAAACCAATAAACTACATTCATGAAAGTAAGCACTATCACTACATAAAAATGGAAAAGTAGAATGAAAATTTTCGTAGCCATCGATAAAAGTATATATTTGCTTCAATGATTTATTCGAATGATTTCTAGCTGATGTTAAATAAGATAATAAAATATTTAATATTCTTAATTGTAGTTGATAGTTTTCATAATGAGTTTCGGCATCGGTATATATGAAAACTTCTGACGACTGCTCTGCTCTACCATATTCACTATCAATTTGAGCATCTATGTCAGCTATGGCATCAACTGTAATAACTGGTGAAGGATTCATATTGTGAGCACGACATATATGACTTTTTATATAGTCTTCCTTAGATCGAAGATCATATATGCGATGGTCCCAATACAAATGATTATATAAATCTTTTATTGGTATCGCACTAATCGTAACATTCGACGGTTTGCATATGTCTAGTGACATACTTTAGCTTCAGATATAGTGTGTAATAACTATTACGTATATTTCAGATATTAATGAAATATGACATTTGTAAACATTTTTAGATGTAGAATCAAAAAAATAGAATGACTCAAAGAGAGGTAACCATTGAAAAATGTCTCAAAAATAGAGGATTACATACTTGACTGACATCTGTTGCTATTATTTATGGTATTAGAACGTAACTATTTGAAGAAAATAGTCCGTTATTTTTCTTCTGAAAATGTTCTCTAAATACCCATATCATGATAGCTACTAGCTATCTATCGTTATTTTATATCATTGATAGGAAATATCATCACATCCATATTGTTTCTGAGTAAGAAAACGGTTCATATGAAGCGAGTCCGACTTCCATGTACATTAAATTTTTAATGCACAGCATACACGTCAACATTTTTCACTGTTTGATGCCACTATTGTTATTCTACTCTTCCCTAATTGAACAGATATGAATTGATATATTCGTTAACTATTCATTGTTCAACAAATTGATTTTCTTTACAATATTTCTTTCAGTTCCACTTTCAATCTACAAAAAATTCTACGGATTACCTTTTGTTAATCATATTCCAATCGGCTAACTAGATTTCGTACTTTCTTACCATCAGATACTTCCTCATTTACCGAGAAGTGCGTTTAAAAATATCAATCATTTCAAGTTTTATTGGAAAATTAAAACGCCACATATATCAGATTATATAATGCGTTGCTTGAATGTTTTCGTTTAATAAACAAAAATTTATACTACCAAATATAGATGTTGCAACGAGACAATTTCTTTTGTACAGGACAACTTTTTCTTTCTTATTTCCTCAGTTAATACTCTATAGTGACAGTCATAGTAGATCATCGATCTTAGAAGAAATGTTATTCACTTTGATTCTAATATTTTTACTATGATATTATTTCTTAGAGGCACATACTAGCTTTATAACAATAAGTCTAACCTTTATAAATGTATGAACGAATAAAATAAAAAAGAAATCATAAAGGATTACGTAGATATACTGAACAGTACAAATTTTAATGTTTGGAAGTGTGAAAAAGAATTCACTATTCGTCATCGAAGGATTACGTTGTCAGTTTAAAAGCAGAAATGCAAAACACGATCATTTTATATTCTCTACCTTTTCGTTTATCAAGTTCATCGAATTGCTGAAAAATTCATGCTTATAAACTTTCATCACTCGAGATGAGCGAACAGGAGGAAAAAGTGACTCCTGGTGGATTGTCACGGGTAGTCCAGAAATAATGAAGGATTTAGTGTTTCGCTAATATCTCGCTCAGTTTTCATTTTAAAGAGTTGGATTGTTCTCTAAAAGATGTGCCTTTCAATTCTTCATCAAACGGATATCGAAAGTTTCTCTGAAGATAGAGAAGCAGAAAAATTAAAAAATAATGCTAAACACTTACAGAACGACTAACTTTCACAGCTATTGTAAAGATAAAACATCGAACGCTTTTTATGCTACCTTACACAATGAAACAAAAGTGAAGATGCTTCTGATCATGTAATTCAAAGTTCGTTGGAATCATTTTAAAATTAATAAATCTGACTTTTGAAAATTCTATTCAAAATGTCTCAAAGCTGATATTTTTTTTCCAGTTGAATTGAACAAGAGAATTTGAGGTCAACTTACGTCTGTGAATATCATATACTAGTCATTCTCAATCAAAAGAAAGAAAGCCAGAACCCAAAAGACGTTATTTTGGCTTACGTTAGTTATGCCTCTTCTCGCAGGAGCGTCGGAAGTGCAAATTGAAACAGCTAAGTTCTCGAAAATCTGAAGAAGAAAATGATCAATGCACGCCGCAAGAATGGTTTTTCATCGTTGATAGTTTGCCTTTTCGTAGGTCTTTGGTACTATTCAACATTGTTTTTTCTCAAGTCTGCAAGAAAATTGTCGACGTGAGTTTTATCAAGAATTGAGTGACAGATCTTTTAGAAAAAATCCAACGGTGTACAATGACAATTGAGCAAGATATTAACGAAGTACTGAATACTTCATTATTTCTGGGTCATCCGTTAGAATCCACTAGGAACCACTCCCCCTCCCTTGACCAGATTTCTAGTCGACATAAGAAGGATATTTTTACTCTGTCATAAGAAAAAGAAATAATTCAACAACAAATAATCAAGTGTCACGATAAGCGCATGGTAGGACAGATGTTGAGCAATATAATATTTTAATCAGCAGCACTCCCATAAACCTGTATATAGTACTGAAATTTTTGCTGGCTATATATTGATATATGAATATACAAATTTCGAGCAAAGTCAACTTTGAATAACTGTCAAATCGTCGCTTTTCATCATTAAAATACTTATCATGAAATGAGGATCAGACTGAAGTGCGAAAAATGTTTTTTTAATCTTCAAAGTCAATGAAAAGCTCATATTATTTTTTTCTTTTCGTAAGATACTGTGAAACTAGTGAATAATTATAAGTCACGGAATAGTGATTCGATATGCACGATAATTTCAAATGAGCGTATCATCGTTACTGATAGAAATTCGAGCAAAAGCTGTTCATTCTTCTCGATATCAGCTTCATTTTTTTACTCAAAGATTTTTGGGATATTGCACATATACTAATCCATTAGCCAACTAAACCTAACAGTGATATTCTTACGACTCTGATATTTGACCTTAAACTCCTGATTCATCCCTTAATTTATATTTTTAATATTCTTGACTCATTCGCCACCATTATAACTACCCCTGTTAATACATATCATTTAATTATTATTCAGTTAAGTTGATGATTGAAGTTTATGATACGAATTCGCTGAATAGAGTCGGAAAAATAAAAATGACAAAAAGCTTGAAAGATCATGAACTATGATTATGCTTAGTGTATCTCAAAACTCATGTGTGATTATTTATTGAAATAAATTTATACTATTGGTTAAAAACTTTACAAAGATAAATGCAATTATCGTTGCTATTTACTTATGAATAAACTATGAAGACTAATCTGATTTAAATAGCATATTTAACAATTCGTTACTTTCATTTCTTTGAAAATGATCAAAATGTCAATGCACATCGGTGCTTGCTTGTTTATATTAATTAATCATATCGTATTTTCTCAACAAAAACTTAATCTCGTGGGTACACACATAGTATACAACATATTTCGATTTTTAAATCATTTTGAACTAAAAAAGATCTATTTAATAAAAGATTTATCGTCATGGCGATCATTCTCCTGCTTTTACCTATCCAAATAGTATTACAAATGAATTCTTCTGGACAAATGGTTTTGGTCAACTAACGCGTCGAGGACAACTTCAACAAGTGCGCTTGAGACAGTATTTTCGGGAGCGCTATGGGGAATTACTCTATCCGAATTACATGGCGTCTGAAGTCAACCAAAATAAATTAAAACTAACCTGAAAATTTCATCTATTTTTCTTTCATTCTATGTGAATAGATTAGCATTCGAAGCACGGACTATGATAGAACTTCAATGTCAGCTTACGCAAATTTACTTGGGCTCTATCCTACATCAAAAGAAAAATTAAAGATCATATTATCAAAACTAGAGCACGAAGATAAATGGTCAGAGGTTCTGCCATGGTAACCAATACCTGTACATACTGTACCACGAACGATTGATTATGTATGTATTTCAGCACATCATTTTTTTACTAGTCAAGTACATTATTCAAATGAAAAAAATAATATTTTGAGAAATCTGAAAAATAAGACGTTCGTTTCATGTTTTTTCCAAAAGGCCATTTCATTTCTTAACCTATTATTCTGTCTGATGAATTGAGAGCACTAGTGGGTTACATAGGCAAACAATAAAACGAGAATTGATTCATCAGTTGTTCATGCAGTCACTCTAAAAGTAGACTGAACTACTTATATATTTGATTTTGTCAAGACTTTTTAAATTTGGATAGCAATCAACTCTAGAAATTTTAGAATCATATCAACAATGATCAAACTAATCTTATTTGTGATATATACAGGATAGATGCTTGAGATCGTTGCCCTCTGTTTTTCTTCAACGAGAACAGTAGTGAATGTGTCTTTGTATGTTTTCAGAATTTGACTACTTGAAATTGAAGTTTATAGATTTATGTCTGACATGCATGTTAACATAATCACTATATCAGATATCAATCTATGCTGACCACACTGGAAGATCAAGAAGCATACTGATCTCATTCTTTCCTTCATCATAAGTATACCGGTATATACTCTATTTGCTAGTTGATTGATTTTGTAAAAGATCTTATTTTCGTAATCGAACTACTTAAAAAAATAAAAGTTATTTAGTAGCTTATGGCGTTCAGCATAGATATTTTTATTGTTGGCTACGGCACTATAATATCCCATTTTTTTAAACTAATGGGTGTGAGTGACTGTCCATACTTCTGCGAACTTGTAGAACAAAGAAGAAATAGTGAACAAATTCAAAATGTAAGTCAACACTATCGAGTACGATGTACAATATATTTTTGGAATAAAATAAAATAAAATTTTGTTGTAGACTTCTTTTGATAAACTCAAAGTTTGGACAGGATCAAAAATAAACGATTTATTTGATGCATGGAATATGGCCGATATAATTATAATTGAAGTATTGATTACAGATTCTGAAATGAATCCGTTTTTTTTCTCAATTTATCTTTTTAACGTTTCAAGGTCTTGTACAATACGAGCTTATCCTGGGCTGATCTCTTCGTACTTTCTCAACTACAACATATTGCTGATTTGTCATTTTATTATCTTTTCAATACAATTGAAACTGGTCGAGTTATTACAGGTTGTCTTCTTATTCTATTGAAGAGTTATTCGTATAGAATTTTTTCAACTAATCACCATTCAGGTCCAATCGTTAATGATATTATGGAAAATATACAAAAATTGATGAAGAATGATTCCATGGGGCGAAAGGCAAAAATTTACTCTGGAGTAGTTTAACTTTTTTTTCATTAAAATATAATTTTTCTATTTCATTGAATGAATTACTAGCACGATGCAACAATAGTTGCATTATTATCACTTTTTCAAGCAAACTACATTCATCAACCTCCATATTGTAGTACAATTTTCATGGATTTGTATCATATATCAGGTTTATATTGATACCTTTGCGAATAATTTTACAACAGTAATTTTATTCTTTGAAGACAATAATACTTATACTCTAAAATTGGAATACTTGAACTCCACAAACGGTGGTACAACTCAGCCAATTCAATTACCACGTGAGTTTTCTATTTATAAAAATTTATTGTTTGAATAATTACGATCAATCAATACTTAGCATGTGACAATCTAATGTGCTCAATAGATATACTGAATAGATGGCTTAAAAATCGACTTCCTAGTAACGATATGAAAATGGAATGTATATCTCGACGATTGAATCAAGCCTTCGATCAATTAAAATATTACATTTGAAATCAATTATTTGTTTTTTTATCATTTAAAAATTGAAATACTTATGATAAATCTTAAAAGATTATAATCATAGCTTTTATAAACATTATATTATTGACATCAGCACTGATTGTAACAGACATTTATTACAAAAGAAAAATATTATCATTTTTTGAAAAAATGAATATTTTAATCTAGATTTGATATGTACAATCAAAAACAAACCAATTACATTCTTAGTAGCAGAACAAACAATTTATCTATTGAGGATATATAGTGTGTGTTGCAAACAAAAATCATAAATGTTCTAGGAAAGATTCATTTTCGAATTAAGCGCCTGAAAGTTTTCTTTTTTTTTGTTTCAAAGAATCAAATAGTGCCTTTTTAAGCAAAGTATTGGTTCGCATAGTAAACAAAATTAACCGCCAACAGCAGAGATGGGCAAGCCAGGCTTTTTTTTACCCAAGTCAAGTCAAGTCATTTGTACATGATACTTGAGTCAAGTCAAGTCACACCTAAAAAAGAGAAGCGCTCAAGTCAAATCATTCCTAAAAATCAAAAGTCTTGCAGTCAAGCCAAGTCAAGTCCCAACGATAGCCGAGTCAGTCACAAGTCAAGTCATGAGATTGATATTTCTTAAAAATTTTATAATTCAATCCTGTATCAATGTATTCAACAAAAATTTTACATTAGTCCTTGATTACATTATAGCGTTGTTAACATTTCTAATGTCGTTCTTGGCATTTTCGATCTAGGTTGTCGCAATATGAAGCTACTTTGAGAGAAAAACCTTTCTGTAGATGATGATGTTGTGAAATGTTTCATTTCTTATTGCATATTGACTATGCATAGTCGCTATCATGAGAAATGCGCAATTTTCCGTCGCGTGTGGATGCCATAACCACTCAGTCAGGCGAACGTTAAAAATAACGACGTTTTTAAGCGTTAAAAGCGCACACTTTGGTGCCTTTAAATGATTTGTATGGTAGAAACGCGTTTTAACGACCAGAAATGTGCTTTTATCGCATTAAAACGGCGTTATTTTCAAGGATTACCTGGCCGGACAGTAGCAATTTCTAGTAGAGCAAAAAAAATAACGTTAGGGTGTATGAATTTAACATCCATCGTCGCTGCAGAAATATTTCTGACTTGACTCATGTTTTTTCGGCAATTCACAAGTCAAGTCAAGTTAAAAAATTTTTGATCCAAGTCAAGTCATGTCCAGTCACAAGTCCCTGATAAAAAGGACTATCCAAGTCAAAGTCAAGTCTTCGAGTCATTGAAAAGTTGTTCAAGTCAAGTCAAAGACCGTCAAAAATGACTTCACTTGACTTGCACTTAAGTGATTTTTGACTTCACTCGCCCATCTCTGGCCCACAGTCACCAGAATCAATGCATAACTTTGTTTTTTTTTCTAAATGGATAGTTAAAAGGGCAGTTTTATCAAATTTAACCAAGTCTCCAAATTATTTTTAATTAACGAAATCTTGATTTTGAAGAGAAAATTTCTAATATTTTCGAAAGACTAACGGGTACAGAAGTAATAGAGGTAGGATTCATTTTCAATCAAACTCGGTCAAAAATAATGAGCTGCATAAAAAGTAGAAATATATATATGCATATTGTCTTCGATTCATTATTATTGCTGCGATATTACTCAAATTTGGCCAGGAGATCTCATTGAAAAAGTTTCAATTATGTTTCATACAATCAAAAATTTATGCTTTATTCTTCGATGTTTCAATTATGCTCTCCTAACTTTTTCGTTTTTACCTTCAAAAATGTTTCCGATTAATTCCATCGCAAAATCTACATGAAAATATTGTTTTCAACTTCGAGATGAATATAAAATCAAGTTTGGCATTTTCTCAAACTATCTTCATTCAATACAGCTCAGACCTATTGAGTAGACTTCAGTGGTCTAAAAGTCATCTATTATATACTGTAAGTATCGGAAAATGAAACAACAGGAATGAGAAATAATCATGGGTAGAATAATAGTGCCTTTATTATTTCTACTTACCAAAATTTTAATTTCTGGAGCCATTCTAGAGATTTGTGTTGCTACTTTCATGTTGCTATCTCATATCCTAAACATTCTTATTGGTAGCATATTTTTCAGGATTTCTTCAGACTTATGTCTCAACTTTTTTAAATTGAAAATTTGATCGAGCTATAGTCAATTGTTGTCTCATACTCTTAAAGAAGAAATCAATTGAGTCTATAACTAACTAAGAGAGGTATCTATCTTTGTAGTAGATGGAATTCTGGGTAATTTTTGCAACTTACTGTTTCGAAAGTTTGAACATACATCGATCTAAACAAGAAAACAATTAGAATGTGAAGTTTTGAAATCAGTGATGGCTTGTCTTTAAGATAAGATGCAAATGTATTCAAGTTTATCCATTGCAAAAATGTGATTGAAAGCAATAAAGAATAAATCAAAGATATTTTTGAAATAGCAAATTCAGATACAATAGGAGCTATTCGAGAAAAGTAAACTTGGACAATAAAGTTAGTTTTGATCATGTGAAATAAAAAAATGTCCTTGAACTTGCGCATAGTTTTAATGCACTTTTTTTTATTGAGTAGCGCTGTTTTTTCCATAGGAGACTGTTTCAAAATAATGTAATGATATTGAAGGGCATCAGCAACTCGGTTAAACATCATCAAAACAATACGATCAGTAATAAGTTTGTACATTGATCAAATCAGATATTCTTGTTATTTTTTTCTCAAAAAGTTGTTGCAGATTTGAATGGATTAAGCGGAGAGAGAGCACTTGAACTATATTTTGTAAATCGACGTCTCAGATTGCATCAATTATCACGTCGCCTTTGAACAGATATGAATGTATAAAAAATACAGAGAAAGTCAATACAATCAACTAGGTAATGGAAGGGTGGCAAAATTGTTGTTTTGATCAATTTCTATTATGTATGCTAATGGTATGCGTCTTTTATGTTAAAAGGTTGTTTCATGAAAATTGAAGATTGCTTTGTTACTTTTCCATTAACGAAATTCACTTAATAAAAACAAGAGATATTTTAAAAAAACAAGTAGTCGCTATTGCATTCATATAACTTGATTCGTTTCATTTCGAAAAACATTTAAATAAAAACAATCAATCGAACACATCGAATAAAAACATATTGATTCTTTCATACAAAATTTATATAATATATCAAATGGCAATACTGTTTCTGTTTTAGATTAATAAACTTTTAATTGTATTTCTAATTTATATTTCTAGCAATGAATATCGATCAACCATACAAATTGTATGCTGTCGTATCGCTGCTCTTGTAAATTTTTTATTCAATAATTTATTTTTTTATATTAATCTGTTTTTTTTCTATTTAGAATCTTTGTCGAACCAGTGTATAGTACGTATTTTGAGCTTCAATTGTTTTATATCTTTTAGAAAGGCTGAAAATAATTTGAAAGTATGCTACGTTTTTTCCAACATATTTATGTAAATTGACCAAATGATTTTTCTTACTGATAAAATCCATTCTGTATAGTGTAAAAATAATCTCTACTTTCATTCTTGCAGTCTGTTGTATACTGTAGAATAAGAGCTGATGGAGAATGATTTTAAAAATAACCATACCGGTGTTATTTCTGTATTTTAATGAATGATTTATGTGTGAACTAGCATATAAAAAATATCCGTGTGCATTCGTGGCGCGACCAGGTTCAGTTTAACCAATGGTATTCCCTCCTGGTTTTACAGGCATAACTATAGCTCAATTCAATGTAAGAGTGTCCATAGAGCGCTAGAATTGAAGACACGACACATTCTCTCTCTAGACACCTGCCCGTTTCGGGTATACTAACTTCGATGTCTGAATCGTATTTCTTTCAAACCATTCGAGTTTTATCAAGTCAGAATATGGAAAACTTATAGACTTCTTCCTCCCTTCATAACGACAACGTTGAAATATCGTCTTCTGTATTGTTTTGAAAAGCTTTCATAATACCAAAAATTACCTATCAAAGAAGCATTCCTTTTCTTGGAAATCTTCGCTAGTTTCTGGAAGAAGCCGAAGTTTTCTCTGATGTGTCTACATGGTATTTGTTATTTGACTCAAACATAGATCAACTTGAAAAGTTTGTGACAATGATTTTGCATATCTAAAATGAGTATTAGGGCTTTTTTTTCTAAATGATGAGAAACTTCCGGTGGGAAAAAGATCTATGTAATCTTGAGGGGTGAAATAACTTGACTTGCTTTACATACGTAACAGTGCGATGTAGAACTTCCCTTACAATCCATCCAATAGTTACCGGGTTACAGATTAATTGTTGTCCTGGTGGCTGCTATAAATTGTGAAAACGTTTCTTATCTAGATCAAAGAAATTTTGCAGTGTACTTATAAGGCACTCTACTTCCAAAATTATTTACCTGTCTTCAAACAATAATACGTTGAAGAACGTCTCGCTAGAATTTTCGAAAATATCAGCCACCTCTCTGATCTCGTCTCAGTTCTCTACATCTGAGTTCTCTATATTAAATCAAAACGAGATGCACCAACAGTCGTTTTACAGGAGTGAATAGGTAGTACTATGCGTGCCACCTTATAAATTCTCATTGAAATGAATCCGATTTATTTTTGTTGTTTTTTTATTCGGAAGAACCAATTTGTTAATTATGAATGAAATCATGCTAATATTTCAAAGTTTAGCTGAATTCAGTGACTTTCGCATAATGTGACAAGATTCTCACTTTTCATACCCATTGTATTGAAGTTTTAACTATCGCTAGAAGATCAAGAAGAAAACTTAAGTTTATTTGTTTATAGTTTAAAATTGTGAAACGCTAATGTTTTTTCAATGTGCTGAAATTTTTAGCACAAACAACAGTAATATGTCCAACAGCTATTTGGAATAGTACTTTTCGAACATTGGCGGGAATATCTGGCGTCGCAGCAAGTACAGCAACTACTCTTTATAATCCATATCGTGCTGTATTTGGACCTAGCAATACACTGTATGTTGCTGATCAGTCTAATAATCGTATTCAAAAATATGTTGGTGGATCAGCAACAGGAACAGCGGTTACGGGTTTAACTTTATCGAATCCATGTGATGTTTATGTTGACAATAATAATGTTCTCTATGTTCTGGATACCAGTAACTACCGAGTATTGCGCTGGAATAACAATGTTGTTACAGTAGTTGCTGGCGGTTTTGGTGCCGGTTCAACATATGATAAAATGTCAACAAGTTATTCAATGTTTGTTGATGCATCCTATAATATTTACGTATCAGATTATGGAAATCATCGTGTTGCGTTTTGGTCGGCAGGAAATCCAAACATGAGTCAATTGGTATTTTTATTTTCATTAATATATATATTTAAACAACTTTTGTCTATTCAAGGTGGCGGGTGGTTACGGAGCTGGAAGTACACCAGAAAAACTGTACTATCCTCTTGGAATCTATGTTGACAATATGGGAATCATATATGTTGCTGACTATTACAACCACCGAATTCAAAAATGGTATCCTGGTTCGTAAACTTATCAGATGTAATTGATAAATTTTTTTCAATATGCCTCATATTATTAAATAGGTGCAGCTACTGGAATTACTGTCGCTGGACAAACAGGAGTGGCAGGATCATGGTCATATTTACTATACTATCCAACAGCGGTTATTTACGACCAATATAATTATCTCTATATTGTTGATTCTAGCAACAATAGAGTTCAACGTTGGGTTCCTGGTGCCAGCTATGGAATAACTGTTGCAGCATCAACAATGTCTAATCCACGAGGCTTAAGTTTTGATTCATCCGGAAACATTATTGTAGCTGATATGAGTTTACATAGGATCATCTCCTTTGCTGTTTCTTGTCGTAAGTATTGGTTTTATATCAAAAATGATTATTCCACTAATGTTAGCAATCGAATTAATCTGATTTTTATTTACTTCAGCCCCGAATGCAACAACAACAGCATCTCCAACAAGTAATGTCTTCTACTACATTCTACACATTGAATATATGAATTGTTTATTTACTTAAATAGCTCAAGCTATAGTACCAGTCTGTTCAACAGGTGGTTGGAATCAAACTTTTACAATTATAGCTGGATCATCAGGGAATCGTGGCACATCAGCAACCTTACTTTACAATCCATATAGTTCATTTATTGATATCTATGGAAATCTTTACGTTGTAGATTATTATAATCATAGAATTCAATATTTTCTAAGAGGTCAATACTAAAAACAAAATCTCAACTAAATAAATAAGTTTTGACAATTTCAAAATAGGTTCTACAACAGCGACAACAGTCGCAGGTATAACATCAAGTGCAGGTTCAAGTTATTCTCAACTGTATTATCCAACAAATATTTATGTTGATTCAAACGGAATAATGTACATACTAGATGCAACTAATTGCCGAGTACTTCGTTGGACTCCTGGAGATCCAATGGGTTTTTCTGTTGCAGGTGATCATGGTTGTGGATCAACAGTAGATAAAATCGATGTTAGCTACGCGATGTTTATCGATAGTCAGTATAATATTTATATATCGGAATATGCAAATCATAGAGTTTCATTATGGACACCAAGAAATACGACAGCTGGAACTACAGTATTTTATTTTTGATTCGAAAATCGCATATATCAATTTGAATGTATTTAATTTAATTTAAGGTTGCTGGTGGATATGGCGCTGGAAGTACAGCAGAGAAACTATATTATCCGTGGGGGATCTATGTTGATGCAAATCAGGTAGTTTTTGTTGTCGATAGATCCAATCATCGAGTACAACGTTGGAATTCAGGTCCGTTATAATTTTTTTCACAATTTTGAATCAATCAATGAATCAATTATTTAGGAGCGATTTCAGGCTTGACTGTAGCAGGCTCTACTAGTGACCCTGGTCCGTGGTCATATCAATTTAGTAATCCAACTGCAATTACTTTCGATCCTTATGGTTATATGTATATTTTGGATACTGGAAATTCACGTGTTCAAAAATGGTTACCGGGAGCAACTTTTGGAACAACAGTTATAGCAGTATCAATGAGTACTCCATATGGATTAATATTTGACCGACGTGGAAATATTGTTATCACTGATCAATTGAACTATCGAATTCTATCTTTTGCTATAACATGTCGTAAGTTTTGTTTAATTTTCAATTCGACTTTTCTTTCTTGAACAAAAAATAAAGCAATATTTTAATATGAATGTTAGCAAATGCAACAACAACAACAGCATCACCACCAAGTTAGTATTCTAAATATTCATTACACTGCATAATTTTTGTGTGAATAGCCACGCCACAAACTTCATTATGTACGACAGCTCAATGGAATTCTACATTCTCCATATTAGCTGGAGTGACATCCACTGCTGGAAGTTCGCCCACATTATTATATTATCCATATAATATATATTTTGATGGATACAACAATTTATATGTTGCTGATACATCAAATCATAGAATTCAATATTATCCTCAAGGTATAATTTCTATTATACACCTATATACATACATGATAAAATTTATTTTTCCGTTTTCAGGAACGTCAATAGGTATAACTGTTGCCGGAATTACAGGTTCTCCCGGTAGTACCTATTCACAATTGTATAATCCATACGCAATCTATGTTGATTCAAATCGAGCAATGTTCATATTAGATACAACTAATTACAGAGTTTTGAAATGGCAATTCGGTGACCCACGTGGTTTTCTTGTAGCCGGTGGCAATGGAGCTGGTGCAGCGTCAAATCAAATCACGACAAGTTATGCCATGTTTGTGGATGCCCAATCGAATGTATACGTATCTGAATACAGTAATCATAGAGTAACACTATGGCTATCAACAAATACATCATATGGAACAATCGTACGTATTTTTTTCTCTAATCGTTCTGTTGGAAAAAATCTAGTATTTACTTGAAGATTGCTGGCGGATATGGTGCTGGAAGTGCATCACAACAACTATACTATCCTTGGGGCATTTGTGTGGATTCTAACCAAGTAGTTTACGTTGTTGATAGAAATAATCATCGAGTACAACGTTGGCTTAATGGTAAGTCATATATTAATTCGATATTAATTTCTAAATAGTTGAATAGGTGCAATAAGTGGTAGTACAGCTGCCGGTACAACTGGCGATGCAGGCCCATATGCATATCAATTCAGTAGTCCAACAGCATTATTGCTAGATCAATATGGTTATTTATATGTATTGGATTATGGAAATTCCCGCATTCAAAAATGGTTTCCAGGTGCACCTTATGGAACCACAGTTTTAGCAGCATCTTTCTATAATCCTTGTGGATTGCAATTTGATCGTCTTAACAATCTTGTTGTAGCTGATACATATTATCATCGAATAGTTTCTTTTGCTATTCTCTGTCGTAAGTTAAAATACGCGATATAAGTTTTTACTGATCTAATAAACTATCTTATTTAAGCTACAACAACAACAACAACAGTTGCACCACCGAGTGAGTCATAAACTCTTTTTCATTCAATTTTATATTCAATTGAAATTGTAAAGCATCATCACCAACACCAATATGCGCAACAGCTCAATGGAATTCTACATTTTCAATATTAGCTGGAATAACAGCGAGCAGAGGATCAACAACCACGTTACTTTATAATCCAAGTGATGCTACTTTGGATGGATATCAAAATTTATATGTTGCTGATACAGTTAATCATAGAATTCAATATTTTCCTCACGGTATAAGTCCTATATGCATAACGGGTGTGGCAGAATAAATGGCTCTCTCAGTATTTTGATGACATCTCTTTCAGTTTTCATTTGGTGAGGCTAATTTTTTTCAAAAGATTCGCGCTGTAAAGCTCTACAAAACTGTATTGTTTTTATTAGCCCAAATAGTTTCCATCGTTTTGACAAAGGCGATACAATCGATTGGTAAAGCTAGCACAACCTTCAAAAACAACTGATTCACGAATGTTTTTGAATGATGAATTTATTTGTTGAATCAGTGTTGTTTTTGACTGGACTGTGTTCCAATTGATAGAATTGGCAAGTTTGTCCCAAATTGAATAGTCCAAAGGATTCAAATCAGGGCTATTTGGAGGCCAACGATCCTTGCCAATAAACGATGGAAAGTTGCCTCGACACCGTTGCTGTGTCAAATGATGCGAGTGAGGCTTGGCGCCATCCTGTTGAAAGACCCAGTCGCTACCGAAAACTTGATTTCCATATTTTAATGCAACAGGAAACACTCTTTCGATATAAACAGTATGATTGACTGTTCCTTCACCCAGGATCACCAAGGGGGTTACACCCTTGGAACAGACACCCAACCAAACCATTACTTTCTGTGGGAGCTTTCGTTTTTGCTTAATGCCACCATTTTTTTCAGCATCAGCACGATCAATTGCCCACACTCGATCATTTTGAGAGTTATAGACACCATCGCTGTCAAAAAACTTCTCATCCGAAAAAAGAACCCTCATGGTTTCTTCTTTTCGAAAATTTGTTCGAATCCAGTTTACAAACTATTTCCGTTTGATCTTTTGATCATCAGAAAGTGATGGTTTGACAAATTTTTTATAGGGATGTAGCCCTAAATCGTTTTTCAATGTTCGCCGAACACTTCTTTCGGAAATATCGAGCTCCATTGACAGTTTTCGAGTTGATACTCCTTTTTTTCGGCGTAAACAATTTTTTACCTTTCGAATATTTCCTTTCGTTCTGGCCAAACGTGGGCACCTGGTGGACTTGATAGTGTGATAGAGCCTGATTGAAGGATTATTTGACACCATGGTTGGATTGTTCTTAAACCGTTTCCACCATTTAAATCACGAAAAGTTTTTGTTGAAGTATCACCAGCCTGGTACTTTAACAGTACAAAATTTTGGAGATCTTTACTTTTCATTATATTAAAACGTAATTGTATTATGGATTCACAGATGAAGTGACTAGTTTTGTAGAGCCTGAGACCGTCTTTTTTTAAATGAGCCCAATCGGATAGAAATCCGAAGAGATGTCACCAAAATACTTATAGGGCTATTTATTCTGCCGCACCCGTTATATAATTACATATATATATATATATCGAATAAATTTAAATTCTTTTTCTTTTGTCTATCTAGGAACAACAACAGGTATAACTATTGCTGGAGTTACAGGTTCTGCTGGTGGTGCCTATTCACAATTGTATAATCCATATGCAATCTATGTCGATTCAAATCGAGCAATGTTCATATTGGATACAACTAATTATCGAGTTTTGAAATGGCAATTTGGTGAACCCCTTGGTTATGTTGTCGCCGGTGGCAATGGAGCTGGTGCAGCATTAACTCAAATCACGACAAGTTATGCCATGTTTGTGGATGCCCAATCGAATGTATACGTATCTGAATACAGTAATCATAGAGTGACGCTATGGCTATCAACAAACACAACTTCTGGAATATTAGTACGCATTTGCAATTTGCTGTCAATGAATTCTGAAATAATCTGCTATTTAATTGTAGGTTGGTGGTGGAAATGGTGCTGGAAGCACATCAGAAAGATTATATAATCCTTGGGGTATTTATGTTGATGTCAATGGGTCTATGTATATTGCTGATCGATCGAATCATCGAGTTCAACTTTGGCTACCTGGTGAGTTGATTTGATCTTATACTATTCCAAATATTTATTTTAAACTATTTAAGGAGCAATAAGTGGTACTACTGTTGCTGGTGTAACTGGGGATGCAGGCCCATATGCATATCAATTAAATAGTCCGACAGGCATCACAGTTGATCAATATGGTTATATATATGTATTAGACTCTGCTAATTCGCGTGTTCAACGATGGTTTCCAGGTGCAAGTTATGGAATAACAGTAATAGTTGCATCGATGAACACTCCATATGGGATGCAAGCTGATAATCAAGGAAATCTAATTATTACCGATACACTCAATTATCGAATTTTATCTTTTGCTCTCTCGTGTCGTAAGTTGCTTTTAAATTAAGTCAAATGCTTATAGAATTAGTATAGTTAGTTAAAGGAAATAAATTTATTACCTTTTTTATTTTAATTTTCAGCTTCTGTAACAACGACAACGGCAGCACCACCACGTAAGTTTCAAAATTATTTGAAATAGATCTTATCTAAATTTGAATATTAAATAGTACAAGCAACAGTTCCTGTGTGCGCTACGGCTATTTGGAATCAAACATATTCTACATTAGTTGGATCGCTGGGAACAGTAGGATCAACAACAACATTATTATATAATCCATCGAGTATTGCTTTTGATGGATATAGAAATATGTATATTGCTGATCTCAGCAATCACAGAATTCAACGATATGCTCCAGGTATTTTGAAAAATTGAAATATTCTATATGGATTGATTAAAAAAAATTATTCAAAGGTTCAAACATTGGCACGACCATAGCTGGTGTAACAAGTTCTGCGGGAAATTCACGATCACAACTTTACAATCCATATGGATTACATGTCACTCCTAATGGAACAATGTTTATATTAGACACAACAAATTATAGAGTACTGCAGTGGCAAGCTGGAGAACCCATGGGCTATATTGTGGCTGGTGGAAATGGTAATGGTGCAGCACTTACTCAAATTGGTGTTAGCTATGAGTTATTTGTTGATGATCAATATAATATTTATATCTCAGAAAGTAGTAATAACAGGATAACAAAATGGTCTCGCAGTAATTCAACTGCTGGAACTTTAGTAATATCGATTTTAAAGATTGATTTTCACTTTCGTTTTATTCTTTCTTTTTTAAGGTTGCTGGTGGAAATGGTGCTGGTAATACAGCGGATAAATTAGCAAACCCTTGGGGAATTTATGTAACTAATCAATCAATATACATTGCTGATCGAGATAATCATCGCATTCAAAAATGGGATTTTGGTATATAAATCGTTTAATACATTAATTCAGTAGAATAATTAAGTTACTTTTGTAGGTGCAAGTCTTGCTAGCACTGTCGCAGGCTCGACAAGTGATCCAGGTCCATGGTCTTATCAATTCAATAATCCTGTAGCAATTACATTCGACCCGTCCGGTTATATGTATATATTAGATGCTGCGAATGATCGTGTTGTTAAATGGTATCCAAATGCACCGTATGGTATAGCAGTAGCATCAACAACAATGGCTACACCATTATCAATGAAATTCGATCCACTCGGTAATATTATTATAACGGACACATCCTATCACCGTGTTATATCATTCAATATAATGTGTCGTAAGTTTCGTTTTATTTCTGCTTTTCTATACACTCTCGTAAATCTTGCCTGGAATAATTCATTTTAGCTTCTGCAACAACAACAACAACACCATTACCAAGTGAGTTATTATCATATTTATCAATGGTAAATCAAAAATACATACTTTCATTTGTTTTTCAACAAAATAGCTCAAACAGCTAGACCAGTATGTCAAACTGCTGTTTGGAATCAAACATATTCTACATTAGCGGGATCAATGGGAACAGCTGGATCAACATCAACATTACTTTATTATCCATATGATGTTCAGTTTGATGGTTACGGTAATATGTATGTGGTCGATCATTATAATCATAGAATTCAAAGATTTCCTTCAGGTTGGATATGAAATGCTAAACATAACCCATATTTGTGTTTTTTTTCACGTTAGGATCGAATGCTGGAGTAACTGTAGCTGGGTCAAGTGGTTCAGGTGGAAGTTCACGTTCACAAATATATTACCCAACAAAAATATGTGTTAGTTCCAATCAAACAATGTATATATTGGATACATCAAATTACAGAGTGCTTAGATGGCAAATGGGTGATACATTGGGTTATGTCGTAGCAGGTGGAAATGGAAATGGTGGAGCTTTCACTCAAATGGGCGTGAGCTATGGAATGTTTGTTACGGATTCATACAATATTTATATATCTGAACAATCAAATCATCGTGTTATGAAATGGCTAAATGGAAACACAACTGCTGGAGTTTTAGTAATTTATCACTTTATTGCACGTAATCTATAAGTCTTTGTTTATTGATTATTTAGGTAGCTGGTGGAAATGGCGCAGGAAATACAGCAGATAAATTAAGTTCGCCATGGGGTGTCTATGTTGATGTGAATGCATCAATTTATGTTGTTGATCGTGGAAATCATCGTGTTCAAATGTGGAGTCCAGGTAAAAAGATCATATATATCTCTATCGCATGTAATTTCATTTTTTGAAACTATTAATCATATAAAAGGTGCCAGTGTTGGTATAACTGTTGCTGGTTCAACAAGCGACGCAGGTCCATGGTCATATCAATTCAATAGTCCAACATCAATTACTTTTGATTCTGACGGTTATATGTATATAGTAGATTATAATAATGCAAGAATTCAACGATGGTATCCCGGTGCAAGTTATGGTACTACTGTTGCATCCGGAGCACTGAATCTACCAATTGGATTGGCATTTGATCGCCTTGCTAACTTGGTTGTAGCTGATACATCTTATCATCGCATTGTTTCATATGGTTTAGTTTGTCGTAAGTTGATAAGTTGTCCTTTTTTTGTTCATTCCTTGAATAATAAATATCTATGTATCAAATCAACCATCGTTGTTTTTTAGCGGCATCAACAACAACAACGACAGCACCACCAAGTAAACTAATTTTCAATAGAAAGAAAACAATTTCTTATTAATTTGTTTAAAACATATTCTTAATAGTTCCAACAACAACTCCATTATGCTCAACATCTATATGGAATCAAACAATACTAATAATAGCCGGCTCAACATCAAATGCTGGATCAACATCAACATCATTATATAATCCATATGATATCGATTTTGATGGTTATAATAATTTGTATGTTGTTGATTATACTAACCATAGAATTCAAAGATTCGACACAGGTCTCATTAATATTGACATTCACACAAAAGTAGATTTTTGTTTTGTTGAAATTTCTTTTAGGATCTTTAACAGGTTCGACTGTGGCTGGTGTAACAGGATCAGCTGGAAGTTCACGATCACAATTGTATTATCCAACATCAATCAGCGTAACAAAAAATGAAACAATGTTTATCATGGATACATCAAATTACAGAGTGCTTAGATGGCAAATGGGTGATGCACTGGGTTATGTTGTGGCAGGTGGAAATGGTAATGGTGGAGCTTTTACTCAGATTGGTGCAAGCTATGAATTGTTTATTGATACTCAATATAATGTTTATGTATCTGAAAATTCCAATCATCGAGTTACCAAATGGTTGAGTACAAACCCATCGATTGGAATTTTAGTAATTTACTTCTTTGTTTGCATGTAATATGTAACTCGTTTATTTTTTTTATGATTTATTTAGGTTGGTGGTGGAAATGGTGCTGGAAATACACCTGAAAAAGTAAACTCACCATGGGGAATCTATGTTGATAATAATAGTGGACTATATATTGTCGATAGAGGAAATCATCGTGTTCAATATTGGCCATTCGGTATAGTGAAAAACAAAATGATTTTCTTAGATATTTATCATCCATAAACTCAAAACTTTTAGGTGCAAGTTTTGGTAGCACTGTTGCGGGTTCGACAAGCGACGCTGGTCCATGGTCATATCAGTTCAATAGTCCAACGTCAATTACATTTGATTCAAATGGTTATCTCTATGTTATGGATTTTAACAATGAGAGAATTCAAAAATGGTTTCCGGGTGCTAACTTTGGTGTCACGGTGGCCGCAGCAAATATGTATAATCCATATGGTATGACCATCAATCCATTTGGAAATATAGTTGTAGCAGACACATCTTATCACCGTGTTATCTCATTTGGCCTTATGTGTCGTAAGTTCCATTTTGTTTTTGTTTTGCTGATTTTATTTTATACACTGAGTTAATTTTTTTATTTCAGCGGCATCAACAACAACAACACATGCACCACCAAGTTAGTGATAGGTCTTTTTGTAGAAAGAAAATCATTATATTGTTTTCTATTTTTTAAATAGCCCAACCGTTAGTACCACTATGTGCGACAGCTATTTGGAATCAAACATCGTCTACAATAGCTGGATCTATATCAGCAGCTGGATCAACAGCAACATTGCTTAGTTCTCCATATGATATGGATTTCGATGAGTATGGAAATATGTATGTTGTTGATTTTGGTAATCATCGAATTCAAAAATATCCACTAGGTTAATTCGCATAAATTCTCTATGGGAAAATGATGACATTTCATTTGTTTTTTTCTTATGTTAGGAGTATTAACTGGTACAACTGTAGCAGGATTCTCAATTGGAAGTGGTAGCTCACGTTCAGAATTGTATTATCCATCAGCTATCACTGTGAAGTCAAATGGAACTATGTTTATACTAGATAGAAGTAATTATCGAGTATTAAAATGGCAAACAGGTGATACATTGGGTTATACTGTTGCTGGTGGAAATGGAAACGGTGGTACATTCACTCAAATTGGTGTAAGTTATGGAATCTATGTTGATGATACTTATAATGTTTACATATCTGAACAATCCAATCATCGTGTTATAAAATGGGCCAATGGTAATACAACTGCTGGTGCATTGGTAACCACTTTTTGTTTTTTCCTCAACGTATATTGTTAAATGGTTTATGTATGTGTTAGGTTGCTGGCGGCAATGGCGTAGGAAGTACAGCAGAAAAACTAAATTCACCATGGGGCGTTTATGTCGATGTGAATGGATCAATTTTTGTTGTTGATCGTGGAAATCATAGAGTACAAAGATGGGATGCTGGTAGAGATACCATGATTTTTTTTTGATACACTCCTAATTAACTCAATCATATTATTTAGGCGTCAGTTTTGGTTTAACTGTTGCTGGTTCCACAAGCGATCCAGGCCCATGGTCATATCAATTTAATAATCCAACAGCAATTACATTGGATATGTATGGCTTTATGTATGTAGTAGATTACAGTAACACAAGAATTCAACGATGGTATCCTGGCGCAAGTTATGGTACTACTGTTGTATCAGGTGGAATGAATTTACCGATTGGATTACGGTTTGACCGTCTTGGAAATCTAGTTATTGCTGATACATCGTACCACCGTATTATTTCATATAGCTTAGTTTGTCGTAAGTTTATTTATTTATTTTTCGGTTAAAACAGAATCTTGATTTATTTTCACTAGCGGCTTCAACAACAACAACAACATTGCCACCACGTAAGTGCATCATTTTACTTAACGATAATACTTCAAAAAACAAATAATCTATTGATTATAAAGCACAAAGTCGAATTCCATTATGTTCAACAGCCATTTGGAATGCATCGTTTACAATGGTGGCAGGTTCAACTTCAACTGCTGGTTCAACATCAACACTATTATCATCTCCTTATGATGTGCAATATGATGGTTACGGATACATGTATGTTGCCGATTATAATAATCATCGAATTCAAAGATTTCATTCAGGTTCTGCTCAATCATTTTTATATTTTTAAGAAAAATAAACAACTTGACAAATATTTTTAGGATCAAATATAGGAACAACTGTTGCTGGGTTCAATCCATCAGCTGGTAGTGGACGTTCAGAATTATACAATCCCTCAGCTTTATATGTTGATTCAACTGGAACTATGTACATATTAGATACATATAACTATCGTGTAGTTAAATGGCAAGTTGGCGATTCAATCGGTACAACCATTGTGAATGGTCGAGGATCGGGCTCAACATTTGATAAAATAGGAAGAAGTAACGGATTTTTTGTTGATACTAATTATAATATTTATATATCCGAGTTCGGAAATCATCGAATTACGAAATGGGTGAATGGAAATAATACTGCTGGATCATTAGTAATTTAATATATATTCATTTATTGGTTTTCTCTTTATTGAGTTATTTCTCATTTAAGGTTGCTGGTGGGAATGGTGCAGGAAATACAGCAGAAAAATTAAATTCACCATGGGGAATTTATGTTGATAATACCAGTGGAATTTATATTGTCGATCAAGCAAATCATCGTGTACAATATTGGCCATCGGGTATTTTAATTAATACATACATATATTTTCCGATTATCATAAGTAAATACATCTTCGTTTACTGTTAAGGTGCAAGTGTTGCAAGTACTGTTGCCGGTACAACTAGTAGTGCGGGTCCCTGGTCATATCAATTCAATACTCCATCAGCAATTATGATGGATCCATATGGCTTCATTTATGTGTTGGACACTGGTAACGCACGTGTTCAAAAATGGTATCCAGGAAATTCATACGGAACAACAATATTATCAGCAACAATGAGCAGTCCAATGGGAATGTCTCTTGATTTTTCAGGAAATTTATTCATCGCAGATACATCTTATCATAGAGTTTTATCTTTCAGTTTATCATGTCGTAAGTTAACATTTTGTTTCTTTTTGTTTATCTTTATTAGTTTTTAAAATTACTATTCCTTTCTAGCATCAATAACTACAACAACAGCACTACCACCAAGTAATATTTTGTTTTCTATCGGCCTAGGAAATAATAGAAATTAAATTTCATTTAAATTGTTTTGCTTAGCATCATCTCAAAGTCAAATTTGTGCAACAGCAATTTGGAATCAAACAATTTCAGTTTTAGCTGGCATAACATCAAGTGCTGGATCAACAGCAACATTATTATATAATCCATCTGATGTTCATTTTGATGGATACAGAAATATGTATGTTGCTGACAGAACCAATCATAGAATTCAATTTTTTCGCTCAGGTTAACACAATTAAAATTTTCTTTTTCTTTTTCTTTTTCGTTTTTGATTCAAATAAAGCTTTTTCCTTTTTTTATAGGACAAACAATAGGAACCACTGTTGCAGGAAATTCAGGTTTAGCTGGCTCTGGAAGAAGTGAACTATATAATCCATATGGAATATCTGTAACATCGAGTCAAACAATGTATATACTAGATACAACAAATTGTAGAGTGTTAAAATGGCAACTTGGACAACCGATGGGATATGTTGTAGTAGGTGGAAATGGTAATGGTGCAGCATTCACTCAAATAGGAACTAGCTATGCATTCTTTCTTGATGCTCAAAATAATGTTTATGTATCTGAATATTCAAATCATCGTGTTACTTTATGGCTCGCTAGAAATACGACTAGTGGATCTTTGGTAAAAAGCTTTGTGGTTTTTTAAAATTTCGATTATAGTTTTATTTGAAATTCTATGAAAGGTTGCTGGTGGGAATGGTGCAGGAAATGCAAATGAAAAATTAAATTCACCTTGGGGTGTCTATATTGATTCAAATCAAACAGTTTATGTTGTTGATACAGGAAATCATCGTGTACAACGTTGGGATGCAGGTATATACAAATGATCAACGAAATTTCTCACAAAATAAAAACTAAACTAATACTTTTTCGTAATAGGATCAAGTACTGGTGTGACAGTAGCAGGTTCTACCAGTAATCCTGGCTCATGGTCATATCAATTTAGTAGTCCAACATCAATAATATTTGATCCATATGGCTATATGTATGTATTAGATGCGGGAAATGCTCGAATTCAACGATGGTTTCCAGGAGATAGCTATGGTAAAACTGTTGTATCAGCAACTATGAGTAATCCATCCGGAATGAAAATTGATCTTTTTGCTAATCTTGTTATTGCTGATGTATCATATCATAGAATATCATCTTTCGCTCTATTATGTCGTAAGTACTGTTTTTTTTCATTTAAAAGATTATTTTTTATTAAACTAAACTACATTTTTTGAAAACATATAGCTGCGTCAACAACAACAACGACTGCACCTCCAAGTAATTGAAATAAATTTTAAAAACTTTTAAAAATCTAACTCTATTTTATAAACAGTGGTCACAACGGTTCCTCTATGTTCAACAGCTACATGGAATGCAACAGGAGGAATAGCCGCTGGTTCGACAAGTACCGCAGGATCAACTTCCGGATTACTTTACTATCCATATGATGTTTCATTTGATGGCTATAATTATATGTACGTTGTTGATTATTATAATCATAGAATTCAACGATTTCCATCAGGTCTCTATCATAGTTCATCTTTTTTTGTAAATAAAATAAAAACGAACGTAACTATTTTAATTTTATTTAGGATCAAACACGGGTGCGACTGTAGCAGGTTCGACAGGTTCAGCTGGAGGTGCACTTGCACAATTATACTATCCAACAGCGATGGTTGTAACAAAAAATGGAACAATGTTTATTGCGGATACATCAAATTATAGAATTTTACGGTGGCAATTAGGAGATCCCATAGGTTTTGTTGTTGCTGGTGGAAATGGAAATGGTGGAGCATTTACTCAAATTGGTGCAAGTTATTCTGTATTTCTTGATGATCAATATAATATTTATGTATCTGAACAAACAAATCATCGTGTTACGAAATGGTTTAATGGAAACACAACTGCAGGAACTTTAGTAATTGGAAAAATTTTCTTGTCATTTTTTAAATTATTCTGACTTATAGATTGCTGGTGGGAATGGTGCTGGTAGTACGGCAGACAAATTAAATTCTCCCTGGGGAATCTATCTTGATAGTAATAGTAGTCTATATATTTCTGACAGATCGAATCATCGAATACAACGATGGGATTTAGGTATTGATTATTTTCATTTTACAAATATCAAATATAATTGTCAATTTTTAAATAAATAGGTGCCACCAATGGTATAACTGTTGCTGGGGATACCAGTGGAGCTGCTGGCTCTTTTGCCTATCAATTAAATAGTCCATCAGAAGTTATAGTTGACCAATATGGTTTTATTTATATATTAGATGCTGGTAATGCGCGTGTACAAAGATGGTCTCAAGGTTCTACATTTGGTGTAACTGTTTTGTCGGCAACAATGAGTAATCCATTAGGAATGGCAATGAATTCCCTTGGAAATCTATTTATAGCTGATACAAATTATCATCGTATTCAATCATTTTCTGTTTATTGTCGTAAGTTTATACTAAAAAAATCGAAACCAAATTTTTAGCTAGTTAATTATGTATTTCAGCAGCAACAACAACAACTAATGCTCCATTATCAGGTTTGCTTTTCTTTTAAGTTATGCTTTTCTTTTATTGAAAAAAAAATTGAATCGTGTTAGCACAAACAACAATCCCATTGTGTTCAACAGCTATGTGGAATTCTTCAGTGACCCTAATAACAGGCGCAACAGGAAGTGCTGGAAGTACACCAACATTTCTTTCGAGCCCATTCGACGTACAATTTGATCAATATCAACAAATGTACGTTGTTGACTATGGTAATCATAGAATTCAGCAGTTTACATTAGGTAATTATGTCATATAATCATATACATAAATCTTAAATAGATATTTATTTAAAGGCTCCAATGTTGGACGAACAGTTGCTGGTATTACAGGATCCGCTGGAAGTACACTAGGACAGCTTAACTATCCAGCTGCAATTTATATTGATTCCAATGATGTTATGTATATATTAGATTCATCAAATTATCGCGTTATACAATGGCCATTAGGAAGTCAACTTGGCAGTGTTGTCGTGAATGGACGTGGTGCAGGTTCAACATTAGATAAAATCGGTGTTAGTTATGCTATGTTTGTATTTAATAATACATATATTTATGTATCTGAAAATGGAAATCATCGTGTCACCAAATGGACCATATCTAATAATAACCTTGGACAACTGGTAATCTACATTTTTTTAAATTCTATTTATAAGTAATATTTTCTTCAATATTTTTTTCTTTGTGAATCAAAGATGGCAGGTGGTGCTGGTGCTGGTAGTACAGCAGAAAGACTAAATTCTCCATGGGGTGTTTACGTTGATAGCAATGCAACTTTATATGTTGTTGATCGTTCGAATCATCGTATTCAACAATGGACTTATGGTAAATTTGTTTTCATATAACCATCAATAATTTGATGTATATTGAATATTAACAGGAACGCCATATGGGACAACTGTAGCTGGTCAGAGCACAGTAGCTGGATCATGGTCGTATCAATTTAATAGTCCAACTTCGATTACATTCGACCAATATGGTTACATGTATATTTTGGATGCGGGTAATTCACGCATTCAAAAATGGTTAATAGGCATGACTTATGGTGTAACGGTTGTATCGGCATCAATGTCAACTCCTTATAGTATGAGTTGGGATTTTTCAAATAATTTATTCGTTGCGGATACTTCATCACATCGAATAATATCATTTAATATTTTATGCCGTAAGTTAATTCTGCCAGAAAGAAATGAAAAGAAAGAGGTCAACTGTAAAAGTAAATTAATTTTTTAGCTCCAACAACAACCACAACATTAGCATATCCAAGTATGTTAATACATTTGAAACTTCAAGCCTAAAATTATGGTTTTCTTTAGCATTACCACAGAATTTAGCATGTCAAACTGGTGTTTTTAATGCAAGCTGGACAATTGTTGCTGGAAGTACGTCAACTGCAGGAACATCAGCTGCAAATTTAAATAGCCCGTATGATGTTTTCATTGATGGAAATTTCAATACTTATGTTGCTGATTATTCCAATAGTAGAATTCAAAAGTTTCCAACAGGTTAATATGAGAAAACTTTTCTTTTTACAAGCACTAGAACATAATTGTTAATTCTTTCTTATTCAACCACATCATAGGAGTTCTATCTGGAACGACTGTTGCTGGTTATACACTTACTGGTGGTTCCTCTTATTCACAATTATTAAATCCAACATCAATATTTGTTACGTTAGATGGATCCATGTATATAGCTGATGCATCAAATTATAGAATTCAAAAATGGCTGCCAAATCAACCATTAGGATTTACTGTTGCTGGTGGAAATGGAAATGGTGCTACACTTAATCAAATCGGTCTTGTTTATTCAATTTTTGTTGATAATCAATCTAATATATATATTTCGGAAAGTACTAATCATAGAGTTACTCTATGGTTCGCTTCTAATACAACTGCCGGTCAATTGGTGAGCATCATTTTTTTATGACTTTTCATTGATCAAGGTCTTTTAGGTTGCTGGCATTGGTGTTCTCGGAAATTCATCGATTCATTTAAATAGTCCATATGGTTTATATGTTGATTCCAATGGAACTATTTATGTAGTTGACAAAGCTAACCAACGTGTCCAACAATGGCAAAAAGGTTTAACCTACGGTATTACTGTTGCTGGAGTAACAGGTATTTCTGGGTCGAATTCATCTCTTTTAAATGCTCCTACTGCAATTACATTTGATTCCAATAATTTTATGTAAACTCGTTAAAAAAAATATATTATGTATATAGTATACTACATTTATCTTTAATAGGTATATTATGGATGCAGGAAACAATAGAATACAAAGATTTGCACCTGGTTCTTTAACCGCAGATACTATGGCTGCTATGGCGTTTAGTACACCGAGAGGCATGCGACTTGATTCAGTTGGTAACTTATATGTCGCTGATCAAAATAATCATCGAGTCGTTCTGTTTCGATGTGGTGAGTTAATGATTAATTTAGAATCTTTCTTTTTTTATCACCACTGAATCTTGTTTTTCAACAGTCTATAACGCATCAACAACAACACTTACAACACTTACGACTACGGCAGGACCTACAACAACATCAACAAGTACGAGTACTACGAGTAGAACAACATCATCAAGTACCAGCACATCAACATCATCCACTAGTACTACAACAACATCGACACAAACTACGGCAACAACGTCAACAACTACTACGACAACAACATCAACAACTACTACGACAACAACATCAACAAGTACTTCGTCAACAACTGAAACTACGACAACAGGACCGCCTACTACTACAGTTACTACTACAACAACCGCTACATCAACAACCACTACATCAACACAATCAACTACCACAACAGCTACTACTACAACAACCACTACAGCAACAACCACTACAGCAACACAATCAACTGCTACAACAGCTACTACTACAACGGAATCGACTACTACAACAGCTACTACTACAACATCAACTACAACAACAGCATACATATCTACCACGAGTATGTAAAACTTTTTTTTTGCTTCTTTCACTCATTGCTAAAAGTTCAGCATAAATCATTTTTTTACTAAATTAGATTAATTTTATATCTAAAATATTCCATTTCTCTTTACATTCTAGCAACTGGTACCACTACGACGTCTACAACGACAACCACTACTACGTCTACAACGTCAACCACTACTACGTCTACAACGTCAACCACTACTACGTCTACAACGACAACCACTACTACATCTACAACGACAACCATTACTACGTCTACAACGGCAAGTACTACTACGTCTACAACGGCAACCACTACTACGGCTACAACAGCTACGACTGGTGCAACAAATGCAAATAGTCAATCTGCGAGTGGTGCGAGTACAGGATCAGATCAGGTATAGAATAAAGACATCTTGTGCAGCTTTCTCAACATTTACTTATGTTTTTTCCTACATAATATTTTATTACTTTTCTTTAGGGTTGGTCAAATGTAGGTATTGGGGCTGGTATTGGTATTGGCGCTGCAGCACTTCTTATAGCTACTGTTATTGGTGGAATCTTATTGGCCAAAAAAGTTTATGGGTCCCTATACACATTTGGGTTTTAATCTTTTACACATTAATTTGTTTTTTTAGAGCATCATCAGCTCCTAGCAGCGCAACCAATTCTATGAACACTAAGAAAAGTGTCACGGTATGTTTCTTCTTGCTCTGTTCGTTTTGGAGATTTTTATAAAAATTCAATATTAAAATGTTGGTTGCAGAAAGTGGAAAAGATTTCATCGGAAGAAAGATCGTCATTTTCTCCAAATAATCAAAACCAATCGTCAAATGCGAAGACAACCGAAAATTCTTCTTCAAACCCGAAGTCTACTACAAATACTTCCCCGAAAAATGACTCGGGCTCGAATGCAGTATCAAATGGTGATCGTGGTTATCCCCCATCAGGACAAATGAACGTAAATGCTCGTACCTATAATATTCATGTTGTCAAATGAACACATATTTTATTTCAATTTTTTACTTTCACTGAATTCTTGTGTGCGTGTTTTTTTTCACTTTTCAATATAATTGCACATTCCCCGCTATCCTTTTGAACCAACAGTACTTAGAACAAAACTTTACTTCTTTCTAATTCAAAGAGATTGTATGTCTATTTTTTATGGGTCCGGGTTGGAGTTTAGTAAGAAAAATAGTTTTTGTTGAAATAATTTGGGTAGTTAAATATTTGGATTGAAAGTCAAATATTTCAAAAATTCATACTTACATCTGCTAGAAAACTCTGAAATATAACCGACACTTGTATCGTCGACATATTTCCTTCAAAAGGAAATTAGTGACAAAATGCATCATGATTTTAGATTTATTTTTCTATCATTTTGCAGCAGATGTCTTTAAAGTCATTGTTCGTCGTTGTTTGATACTATATAAACAATTACGGTATGATTTCACTTGTAGGACTTCATTAGTCGTCGAACTATTTTAATGTATGTGTATAGTATAGTATGATAATTGTATAGGTTAACTGACTTTAATATGAAAATTTCATGCTGATTTTCATATGCTACTTCGATGAATATTAAATGGTATTAAATAGATGTGAAACTAAAAATTAAGTCACATATTACGTTGGAAGATTGGAAATTTATATAAAGAATAAATTTAGCAACTATTCGGTGTTTCTTGGATAGTACGTAACACGAGTATCCTTAGAAATTTTTGATAGCCAGTAGATGAACTCTAAAATATAAAATAACGTCTAGAGAGTCAACGAAAATATTCTAGTAGGAATGGCTAAATCAATTAATCAATCAATTTTTACTTCATTAAAAATATAATATTTAAGAAAATAAGAATAAGAATTTGATTTTCGAATTAGAAAATTAGTGATGAATTCGCATGAATATTGCTAGAATTTCGTATTGAATTTACACCAGTCGACGATTTTGACTTCGATCTATCCAAATTCTTGTTTCTCTTGATTGGGAGACAAGATTCATTTTAGACATAGTAATCAGGCAAGAATCCTTTTGAGAGGAAAGTAAGAGAATTCTGACCAATAGTTCAAGATACACAGGAACTTTTCTGATCGATCAGAAAAATAAGAATCTTGTACAGAAGGAAAGACAAAAGAATCTTCTCTCTCATAATCAAGAAAAACAATAATCTGGACAGATCAAAGTCAAGATCGTTGGCTAGTGTAGTAATTTGAACATTTTTGGGAAACTGTAAATTCAATTTATAATTATTATACAGTTGAATGCCTTTCATTTATTTTATTTCACAGTTAAAATATATAATAGAAGAAAACAAAGCAAAATTATTTCAGTTCGACGAAACTAAAAGTACTTCCATAAGTAGTAACAATAAAAATATCAGTTAAATAGTTAATTTTAAAAAAATTAAGCAAAGTTTGCAGAAAAAATCCTAATTGTTAATATTTTGAATCAATTTTATTTGTATGATGAAATAGAGGTTTCAATTACTTCGCTTCTTAAAATATAATTTAGATAGTCATACATTCCTAAGCGTTCGGATGTAAAAACAAAGAGCACTCGTTATTCTAAAATAGAGGAGATACTATCTAAAGATGAAAATGATGTATTACCTTCAATAATGTTTGATTGATCCTAAAATCTGGATATTTTCCCACCATTACTATTTAATTCTTGAACTAGTTCTTCGTTAAACAAACCAGGACAAAGATCGCTTTTAATAACCGCCAATTCATAGAAAATAATATTTAAAATAAAACGCATGTGATATTAATATTATGCCAGCTATTCGGAACGATTTGTTGTAACCTAGCAATTATTCAATGGGTTACTATAGTCAATCAAATAGAACTCTCCAGCACATTCTTGGAGTTTAGTAAAAATCCTAAAAGGATTTTCCAGGTCGGTGATCTCTGAAGCAGTATTCCATCAATTTCCGGCGGAAACTCAAAGTAAACAAACCGTTTTGGACGGGAATCAGCCGAGATTTCTCGTCCTGGGTTCATATAGAACCTTTTTGTTAAAGTGTAGTAACTTTATCTCAGTAAGTTAAAGATTGGTACTTACAACAATAGTTTTGTATATATTCCGAACATCTTCCAGAAACGTGGCTTTTTCATTTTTGGACATACTTGGAAGTTCATTACCTGTGGTTTCACCAGTTTCATGTTTCTAATCTGGCTTTTTATTAGCTTGAGAATTGAAAGAAATCGACGGCAATTGTTTTGCAGTTTTGCTTGCCAATAAACCATTTTTAGCGAAACTTATTAGTATACTACGAAAGAAATCGTTGCACTCTTCGAAAACAAAATGAACTAATCATTGCTCTTGCTGTAGTCATTTCAAGTATTTTGAGAATATATGTTGCAAAGAGAAGAGAATACAATGAACGGGAACGAATGCTTTCTTTTGCACGAGTTCAATTTGAATTCGTTTCCATCTAGCATAATTTGTGTTTTTTGTGTCGATCTTTGATAGATAAACGAGGAAATATGCTGTTAGAATCGCCAAACAGTTTCCAGTATTTTTCACTAATCTTCACGCTGAACTGATGATCGAGATAAAAAAATTTAAAGATTCTATGAAATATTTTCGATTTGTCAATCGTCTAGGGTGAAATCTCTTTTGAAAGCATTGTGAATGATATGAAGTAGACATGATCCGATTGCAGCTAAGCCTTAGATCGCTGCCTGTCCTGTGCTGTAAACAAATAATATAAACAAGTCTTGCTTTTTTGTCTATCTGTAACAATAAAAGCGAGTCTATAGTATATAAAAGAAAAGATTAACTAGCACAATTCAATCCCATCAGATTTCAATGAATCAAGTAAATGGTGGCTGATAATGTCAGAAGTCGCACGCTCAAGTGTAATACTTTCCCAATATCGAATATGTAAGTTCAATTGCTTCCGTGCTTCAACAATAGCAGTTTCATCGAAAAGTAACGATTGGGCAGGAGCTTTGAGCCCCCTCCCCCCTCAAAAATCGATTTCAGCCTAGGAACATCCAAATGAGATGAAACTTACAGGATATGTTGGTACTAGAAATGGAAAGCTACCATAAAAATTTCAGTCAGAAATCTTTAGGTTTCAGGGAGACATGAGCCAAGCAAGGGTCAAAAATGACTCATTTCGCATCCCGAACTTCTCGGTTCTGGTTCGTTCAATATATTCTTTTTTTGGTTGGAAAGAGCATCTCAGGACGCAGGGCACGACGTTGTCCTGTTTTTGAAATAATCCATTTTTAAGTGCAAAAAATGAATCACAAGTTCAATGACTCAAAAAGTGCCAAAAAATGGTAGAAAAATCATATAACTGGCTGTATATTGACCAAACAAAGGCCTAATTTAAAAAAGGACAACGTCATACCCTCCGCCTCGAGATGCTCTTTCAAATAAACAAAAAATATTAATACATTGAATGGACCTGGAAGGAGAGGTTTGGGATGCCAAAATCAGTTATTTTTAACCATTGTTTGGTTCGTATCTCCCTTAAACCTGCCGATTTGGGACTGAAAATTTTATCACAGATTCTTCACTATAGCCCAAACATATCCTCCAAATTTCAACCCATTTAAATGTTCCTAAANTCGTTACACCAAATGCACTCAAATTGCTCAGCTATGAGGAACATGGGTATCCATTTTAGATATCCACTTGAATGGATATTGTGACTGGTATGTCGACGATACCCAGTGTTTGGATATTATGACATCTCTGAGGCCAGGTCGAAAAAAGTTGGCTTGTTGGCATCTCTGGTTGGGAAGGGTAGATTGTTTGTTATTGCTGACGACGAAGAAGTATAAGATTGATTTGAGGTGATGTTGTTACTTGTAGGCGATAATGTTATGATGAAAGCAACCAACTGACTCGGCCGTTAAACGTGTTTGAGACATTGTATAGATGCTTCGGGCGTTCAAAATTACTTTTAACGTTATTTTAACTTTCGTTGGCATAGCTTAATTCGATATTGCGTACAGTACGTTTAAACATTCCATGTTGCGAATTCCGGATCATTTTTTGAGGTAAACCGCGGTATTTATCCTTCGTACGGTAAAGGGAGCGGGTAAATGGACCGATAAAACCGGCCGTTTTTTTGCGCATGTTTATCGCACGTAAAATTTTTAAAAAATTTCAAAATAGCTTAATCGACAATTTGGAACACTTGTTTTTGTCAAAGATTATACATGAACCGGTTAACCGATTTTGTTTAGTGATAACCGCGGCATTAATCAAAACCAGGGTTTTATCGTGGTAAATTCCGGTAAATTTTCACTGATGGGAGCCGGTAACTTGACCGGTAAAACCGTGGTTAACCACCGATTTTCATCTGGTTTTTGTTACAAGGGATTCTTCTTTCTTTATCAATAATCTTTTGAAATTAGTACTACTTTCATTAAACTCGCTTCAGAACGATATTTTCTAACTAGAAAAGGCGACAACAATAATATCCACTACTGATAGTGTTATGATACCAAAAAACATAATAACTGGATTAGTTCGAGATTCTTTGCGTATTAGTAATTAGATTCATAGACTGCTTTCACTTATAGCAAAGCTACAAGCTATTTTAATTTTAATTTTAGAACAGCACATTTGGAAAAAAATTTCTTCTCAAAATCCTTCTTTTTCGTACCCCTGCCCCTGCTGCAGGCTCTGTGATATATAACAAATAGGAATATACGAACACCTATAAAATATTTTTGCATACATTGGTTCCGTCACCTTATGCTTTTGAGAAATTTTCTGCTCATTTTTAACCAAGTATAAGTATGAAAGGTTTTAACTGGATGGACAGTATCAATGTTTATGAACAACATCATTACTTTCATCATCTTATTTTGCAGTCTAGCAAACTTTATTTTAATTGTAAATTATAAAATACTCAGTAGTCGTTTGAATGAAAAAAAAGATGTTATTTAGTTTCTGGTTGTGACTAGCAAGCATCTACAGTGAAAAGTGTCACATCAAGTAATTGAAGATTATTATCAGAAACGAATTTCATCAATGGAAATTTTCGACGTTGAGGTATATCATTGAATGTTTTTTCTTCTTTGATTTGTTCAGTCGATTCATAAAGTAAAAATATATATCTATGCCTTCCAGTTCCAGGTCGAGGCCCAGGTCCCATGTATGGACCTATAATAAGTAATTACATAGCAATACATATACTTGTTGAAATAAACATTTTCTTTTTTTTGGCAACTTTCAAGCAATAGATACGATTCTATAGTTAATATGAAATAATTGATTAAGAGATCGTTTTTTATTATTATTTATAGATATGATCGGAACAAAACAGTTGATCGATTACAATTCAAAAAGAAAACAATATTCTTTATCGAAACAGACGTGCATGTGTGAATCTAGATTACAAGTAAGATATATTTCATTCCAGAACTTTAAAGATCAATCAATACTTCAATTTTTTTCAAATTATTCTATCGAGAATTTCGAAAAAGAAGTTTGAAAATACTCACAAATTGATAGCCCATCGATTTCGTTGTTTTCTTGAAAATTAGCTAACATCCAATGTATGAATGGACCAGTTATTGGTTGATCAGAAGAAGGAGCGTCGGGATCAATCATAATCTAATTATAAAATATTTAAACAGAAAACATAAAAAATTAATTTAATAATAATAACAAACTAATGTTAAATATTTATTATTTTGATAATGTTGACTCATTTTTATAGTTGGTTTTTGTTGTGTTTGTTCTTTTGTTAAACAATTATTTCCATTAATTTTTTCATCTTCATATATTATTTCCAATATATTTTTATTGTTTATGATTTCATTTATTTGATTGATCAAATATGAAACATCAGAGCTTATTTCGTTAATCATCTAAGTATTAATAGGTATGAACAAAATATAGAATTATCTAAAAGTGTTCTAAATAAATTATACAAGTATATTATTTTTAAAATTTTTTTTTAGTAAAAAAAACAAAGAAAAAGAATACAAATTTCTTTTCTTATCTTATTTTTTCTTTTCCTTTTGAAAAGATAAAACAAATTGCTGAAAAAGTTACTAATGTGAAACTTAAAAACTTGAAGATATTTTTATCATTGGATGTATTCTTATAATATTTAATATTTATTTTAAGAATCTTATAAAGATTAGATTTTATTTCATTCTGATATTAAAAATTACTTTACATTAAAAATAGAATGAATCAACGCGACATTTTCTCTTTTACGTTTGATTGATGAAAACTTAATTTAATTACTAAAATTTCTTCGGGGTACAAATTCTACTGAAATCTTGCATTCATTCAGATAATCTTTAATCAAACTGGATAAAGTAAATTATTTTCATTGTTTTGTGTTATTTTAATTAAAAAATGGAAGCAGAAAGTAAAAATCTTCATGTTTACAAATTATAATTCATTAAAATAATTATCAATCGAGATTTTCTCGTCACAATAAGTTAATAGTATGTAGAAAAATATATTCAAAATTTAAAATATAATGCAATGAAATTATATTCAGATATTGATCAAGAAATTAGTTTAATATTATACTATTGATTTTAAGAAAATATAAGATTTTATTTTTTCCATATCTATTTTTATTCTTCAAAAGTAAATTAACCATAGTTATAATTATTTACTCTTTGTTTTCTTAAAAATCATATGTAGTCAGCTATTCAACAAGATATTGTTTGATAAGATTCAAAATCATTATCTTTGACTAATTAATTATTTTGATTTGTTTAAGTAACGAATGATTTCACCTAATAAAAAGTCAGAAATTTTTAAGATGAGAGAATGATAATTTATTATAAAAACAGAATTCTATTCGAATTTGAAAATAAACTTATAAGGTGCATTTTCATTTTGTCTATGCATTCATTGAAAAGATAAATTGCTTTCAAATTCTTCTACAATATTATTTTTTACTGTTCGAGCTTCAACGATAATAATTGGTGTTATTCTTTTTGATTTTGAGTGTAATACATCATACATTTAGATTCCTATCATTCTACTAAAAAGGACTTTATTTATAGATTCTATTATGTATTTTATGCGAGTGTTCATCCATTCAAAATATTAAATGCATTAAATAATCTTAATAAAACTAGTTTGACAATCGATCTGAATTCCTACATAAAGAATTTTTTCACAGAAAATAATTATTCTTTCGATTATTGACTTAGTTTCTCGTTAATATCATGATACAAATAAAAAATATTTTATTTTAATTAGAAAAAGTTTTTTTAATCAGAAAATTTGAATTTTATTAAATCCTATGCTGAAGTTTGTTCTTTAGTATTTCATTTTAAATATTGTCATTTTCAAAAACAAAAAAAAATCAATAGAAAATGTTTTTAGATGATCCTTTCTACAGAGAACCAAATTATAAGCAATAAGCTTTTAAAAAACATAAATAGAAAATTTAGTATTCATTTTTTACGATAAATTCTAGATCGTTAATTTTATTTTTATTATTTAAATATTTGATTAATTGGCAAGAATAATAATCAGAAAAAAATAATGATTAAATTGAATAAAAACTAATTGTTGATTGATAATACTAGAAAGAAATGATTAGCCGCGATGAAGTTTTAAATTGCTATGATCTCTAGCTGCAACTCCTAAAAAGTAAAGTGTATCTGGATATGCATTTGATGAAACTTGTAGATCATATTTATTTCTCCAGAACAATGAGCTAATTCTTTTTCGAAATTTGGCCACAGTATTTCCCAATGGTTGTTCATGAAATTCAGTATTTAATGAAGCAGCTGTACCTTCCATTACTATCCGATTATTATTAAATGAAATAGTAAATTTATTTCCAACTATTTTAAAATTTTGTTCTATTGTTCCATTTGTCCATTGATTATTATTTGCATTTAAAATGGTTACCGTTGCTTTATACATTACAGCTGTTACTTTAGCTTTTAATCTTGCAATTAATTTTTTTGCTGGAAGACTAAATACTTGAACATCATGAGTTAAACCCAATTTTGATTCCATACGATATAGACGAGTTTTTCCTGTATGATCATAAATAGTAAATTCACCTCCTTTAAGACCACTGACAAAATCTTTTTTTATCAAATATGTACGATTAACTTCAACTGATTGAGCAGGAATTAGTAAATTAATTGATAATAATACGAATAATGTTAACATCATTTTAATATAAACTTTCATTTAATAAAATATAAAAATCTATGAAAACATTTTTGTTGATCTCTCTTTTATATATGATCGATAATTATCTTTAAAGTTTATATCGGTATCATTCTTATCTTAATTATAAATATATCTATAGATCAAATTTCATCCTAACATCTAGATTTCAAACTAGATTTCGCCTTGAATTTATCTTTTTTAATTATAGATCAATCACTAATAATAAAAAAAAGCTATTCGCTTCTATTGAAATGATTTATTTTTATTCCATAAAATTCTTATATTATCAATTTACAAAGATTTACTGAAACTATGTTTTTTTAACCAACTACTTAAAAATATAATTTAAAAGAAAAATCAAATGTGCAATTGATTTAATTAAAAATTGTTAGCAAATATTTGATATAAATTGACATTTTCATTATTATTCAATAAATACGAATTCGCTTTGCTTGCTTTTTTATTCTAAACTTTAAGCAAACACAAACAACGAATGGCTAAGAATAACTTTGATTAAAAATTCATTTAAATAAATTTGTTTTGAAATATTCTATTATATGAAGCATTTCAAAGATACACAAACTAATTCTACTAAACGTTATAAAGAACATAATAATACTCAAAAGATTTCTTATGGAAACAATTTTATTGATACTCAACATAGTTTAATTTCCAATGCTCAATCTTAGTAATAAAATATTTAATAATTTAAAATACAGTTCATTTTAATTATCAATAATATAGTCTTCATTAAAAAAAGTTTAAATAATTAACTTATAATCATGTGATATGAGTAATGAAAAACTTGATTTATTGATCATCAATGTCAAGAAAGATATATATAAATTTCTTAAAGCATAACTAAAAATATATCGCTGTGCATACGTTTGACATTTGAAAATAAAAAACAATTTCGCGAGTGCCATATGAGTTATTATGTGAAATAATTCATATAGAATCAATTATCAAATGTAATAGAACAAGAAGTGTTTGATGATTTTAAAAAAAAGCGAAAAAATTCGTCAAGTCATAGTCTCTTTAAATTATAATCGATTCATTCAAATATTTCAATAAAAATCCATAGAATAAAACAAATGACGAATAACAATTATTATTATCGAATCAAACTGAAAATAATTATGTTTATTGTACATTCAATGTCTATTAAGAGTGTATTCTCTCAAAAAACGATTGGTATTTGACCTACGTATGTTCTTATGTTTTATCTATTCGGTCTATATTCGCCTCGCTAGACAAACTTCCAAAATTTCAATTATGCATTGATCAGCTTTATTATTTTCTTTTGGGAGAATATAAATTGGTGAACTTACTTTCCTTGCAATCACAATCACCCCCTCAAGATATTCAACGTAATTGTATGGAATTTGATGACTTTGCTGAATGACAAAGGTGTTTCTATTAGTGAAATCCACTACAGTTTAAGTATTGGTGGATGATGGCCTCTAACGCTATCCACCGTAAATCACTTTAGACTTTATCCTTTCATACTTTATCGCATGAAAAGCTCATGCTTCATCATACCTACCTCTTTTCATCAATTTCATTAAAACATGCGTACAGCTAACAGTAGCGAATACAAAAACCTAATTCAAAACGTTACTATCAGTTTTTCATACTGACCCAAAAAATAATCTTCTATTAATCTTCAGAAAATATTTTCGCAGTATTTTTGAAATTGAAAAAATTAAAAAAAAAGTTTTCTAGTTAATATTTATATGAGCTATTCAATTTAAAAGCTAATCTATTTATTTGTATTAATTTATTTCGATTCATGATTTTAATTAATTGAACTACGTGAGAGTTAGTATGAGTCTTCTTATGATTCATATCCATACTCACACGCTCAAGATATTGGAATAGATTTTCAATAAAAAAAAATCTTATTTTTGAAACATTTATTTGAAAATAAATCTTTCGATAATGTAAATTAAAAATATATAAGAGTCAAATTTAATATAAGATAATTTATTAATAACTTGTTACAGCAAATTGAAGTAAAGTTGGTAGTTTAGATTTTCGTCTAATAATTTTGAGAATTGTCCATAATCCATCAGTAGAATTAACAAGACGATTATCATTTAAATAATCGTATGGTAGATAAAAATAACCTTCATGACCCTTGAAATATTTATTTATTTTTATAAAAACAAAGAAAAACAAAATTTTCTTACCCAACCTGCTCCCCAAGAATTTCGACCAATAAAATATTTTTTATCTCGATTATAACCAACTAAAACAACAGTATGAAAATTGCTTTCATCAATTAAAACATTGTTTTCACTTGGAACACTAAGATAACCAAGATTAATTTGTATATTTCTTCGTGTTTGATCAATTAATTTAATATCAATAAGTACGGGAATTTGATTATGTAAACATATTTCAATGGCTTTTATATGAAATAAAATTCTTAATGGAATAACAGTCCATCGACTTGCTTCTAAATAAGCTTTACTTGATGGTTCTTTATTTAAATTATACACTTCATAACGCCAAGTTTTCTCTTGACAAAGTCCATATTTTCTTAAACCTAAAGCAATATCTCTTTGATAAACTCCATCATCTCGAACATTATGTGTTTTTTGTCCAATTATTTGACCATTATAATAAATGAATAAACGAGATATATCAATATCACGACGAGTTGCACGTTTTATTAAATATTCACAAATACCAGCAAAAGCATTTGCACAACTAAAAATAATTTTTACGTAAAACAGAAAAAAAACTAAAATGAAATCTTTACCAAGTATTCATGTCTCGTTGATATTCAATATGAGTCATCCATGGACGTAAATCAACAGCACGTGATAATCTTTGTTTAGGAAAACTAATTGGTCGCATTACACGATTAATTTCATCGTTTTCATCAACTGCTTTTCTGTTTTCACGTCGAAAATTGAAATACTTCATTTATTTTTCTACAAACGCGTAGTTTTGGTGGGATATATATTTGAAAACAACATTCTGTTGCCTTCTTATTTTCCAACACTCCAAGTAACAAAACAAAATAAATGATGTGTAACGATTCATTGATATTTTTATTAGAAATAAAGAAGCTAATATTTTAAATCGATTGGCAACTTTTATCATATGTTTGTTGTTTCAAAATATTGGAAACTATTTCAAAATTTCATTTTTTTCAAATATTTCAATCTATTTTCAAAAGAAGAAATCAATTATGTTGTGCTTTCATAGGTTGATTTTCTATCTAATTTCAATTTTCAGTGAAAAATATCTTATCTTAAAACATTTGTCGACATGGTAATTATTACTTAATATATATCGAAAATGATTATTTATCAAATATTGCTAAAAAGGAGTTTTATACGATGATAAGTATCAGATTTATGTTGATGTCGTCTTTCATATATGTATGTACAATAAAAAAATATCTCGCGCCTTACGCGACATGACTCATGCATATAATAATATCCAGTTGAGACTGGTTCTATAGATGAAGTACGCCTTGTTCTTAGAAATGACGTTTAACTAGATAATAGCAATGTGTCTTGATATCTTCTTTAGAGAAAAATTAGTCGAGTTATATTACCCTAAATTATGATAATCACGATTGCCAAATTAGAACATTGAAATTCAGAATTTCTTTCTTCAAAGTCAAGAAACAATAACAAAATATTTTCTTAAAATCAGGAAAGACAATTTTTTCAAATACCTGCCAATTATGTTAACATGTTTCATTCATAATAGGTATGTATATATGAAAATGAACTAAAGATATATTATGTAAGTTAAATGACTTCAAGAAAGAAAAAAAATTAAGTAATATTTTCTATTTTTGTTTCCCAATCTTTTAAAATGATTGTATTTCAGCTGATATAATGATATTAATAAAAACAAATTCAAAAGAATAATAGGTACTCATTCTTAGTATAAGTTCAACACTAACTTAACTGAAAATATAAATTTTTATATTAATTCGCTCTTGAATACTACTCCTAGATAACGTAGATTTATTAATTCATTGAAAATTTCATTGATGTCTATTTAATTCAACAATTGAGAATGAGTAGAGTAAAAGAATACGCCACAATATTCATTTATTATAGAAACATGTTTTAATCATTAAGGAAACTGAGAGACTTGATAGATTTAGAATTTTACATGAAAATCAGAAATTACTAAATTCCCTTTTCTCTCAAGAGGTCTGACAATCCTGATTATATCAATGAATTGGTTCAATCAATTCTTTTCGTTCCATTTCATGTAACTTCAATCATTAAAGTAATGTTTGTTATCTTAAAAACAGTCGAATTCTTTGATACAGAATATCATGCCAAATAACCCAGAAAAACTGTTTAACTATCTAGCTTAAATAGTGGCTTTAGAAAAAAAGATACTTCATTCAACTTTACAAATTTTAACCCTCCGTATTCTCATAGACACACACCATTTTCTATTCTAAATATAAGCAACCAATTGTGCGACCTAGTAAAACTTCATTCTCTCCTCAACATTAACCGGATCACTTCAAACTGCTACGAAAAGAAATCTTACTTTATTTTGGCAGAAACAATGTTTAATATAATGATCGCACTAACTTTATCCTACTATAGTCAATCACAATTAATTATGCGGCTTTAACAAGCTTACAACCTCAAACAGCCCATCTTTCATATATATAAATATACTGTTGGCGAAATAAGTTTATTTCATTAAAATTTCTATAAGATCTAATTATTTAATCACGTTGAATGATTGCGGTCAATTTATAAAGAAGTGAAAAGTGACGAAAAAGGATCTCAATGAATCTGACACACAGGCACGACTACAGGGATAAAAAGAAAGAAAAAACAAATATACACTGTTAAACAGGTTCTGAACAATAATCTGACACGCAGACACACTGTTTGTTTGTTTGTTATTTTTTGTTTCTTAGTGAGCACCAACGACTAGGACAAATTACGAATGACAAAGACAAAAGAAATTCTATCTGAGAGGAAGACAAAAAAAGTAAGGTTAATTTGAATCTTTAAATATAAATAAATCGAATGATTCTTCTTCGCTTTGATTGACTAATATAGATGATAATGAAGAATCTGATGACGAACATGATGTACTTTTCCTATTTTCATTTATTTCATCAATTGATATTGAGGAACAAGGTACAACACAAAATAATAATACAAGAATATCATCACATTTTATATG